GTTTAAATTTATTAATTTTTTTGAGCATTTCATTGAATTTCCTCACCTGATCATTCAAGATCAACTCCTACCCTTCCATACCTCAACATTATGCTTTCTTTGTTTGTTTAGTCTTTTGGAGACAGGGTCTCCCTGTAGCCACAGCTGGCCTGGATTTGCTATGGAGCCCAGGCTGGCCTCAAACTCACAGAGATCTGCCTGCCACTGCCTCCTGAGTACTGGGACTAAAGGCCACCACACCTGGTCCTAAATGGATTAAAAAAAAAATACTTTTGTGTTTTGAGACAGAGTCTCATGTAGCCCAGGCTGGCCTCAAACTTTCTAGGTAGCCTAGCCTGCCCTTAAGTTCTGATCTTCCCACCTTCATGTGAAGAAATGGGTTCTTCTTTTGACATAAGATACAAAAGGTTTTAGGGAAGAAAGCAACCTGGCCAGTTCCAGGCCAGCTAGGGGTACATGAGAGCCTGTCTCAGAAACAGCAACAAAGTTAAAACAGGGATGTTAGATGGCTCAGTGGCTAAGAGCAAGCATTGTTCTTCCAGAGGACCCAAGTTCTATTCCCACTACCCAGTGAGATCAGGTGACAGACACATTCACATACACATAAATAATGTAAAATATTTAATTTTTAAAAATTTATTGCTTTTATGATTATGCATGCATTGCCTGCATGTAGGTAAGTGCACCTGTGTCATGCAATGCCCACAGAGGACAGAGGAGGCTGTCGGATCACCTGGAACTGTAATTATGGACAGTTGTTACAGCTGCCATGTAGGTGCTGGGACTCAAACCCAGTTCTTCTGCAAGAACACCCAGTGTTCTTAACTGCTGAGCCATCTCTCTAGCCTCCAATAATGTAAAATATTTTTAAATGTTAAAGATAATTTACAGCTGGACATGGCAGCACATGCCTTTAATCCCAGCACTCGGGAGTCAGAGGCAGGTGCATCTCTGTGACATCAAGGACAGCCTGGTCTACATAGCAAGTTCTAGGTCAGATGGGGCAACAGGAAGACTTTGTCTCAAAAAAAAAACAAAAACTAAAACAAAAAAAACCCAAAATGGACTGAAGAGATGCTCAGCAGTTAGGAGCACTGGTCCAGGGGACCTGGCACCCTCTTCTGGCCTCAGCAAGCATTGCATGACACCTGTGCACTTACATACATGCAGGCAAAACGTTCATAGAATAAAAATAAAATATTGAAAAGCAAAATCATTTATATCAAAACTGTAATTCATAATTTAAAAAGTAATTAACAACAGAAGTCATTCACAATTAAAAGTAATCCATAATTTTAAAATCAAAGATATTCATAAATTTTAAAGTTCTTTTTTTGAAGCAGGGTCTCCTGGCTTTAAATAGTTCTTAATTTTTAAAAAGTTCTAAAAATTAATTAATGATTTTTTAAAAGTTTTAAAAGAAAGCAATTTATGAGTTGGGCGTGGTGGTACACGTCTTTAAACTCAACACTTGGGAGGCAGAGGTAGGTGGATCTCTGTGAGTTCAAGGCCAGCCTGTTCTACATAGAGAGTTCTAGGCCAGGTGGGACTACAGGGAAACTCTGACTCTAAAAGACAAAAAAAGAAAACGAAAGCAAGTTATAATTAAAAATGGAAAGTAATGAGCCAGGCGTGGTGGCGCACACCTTTAATCCCAGCACTCGGGAGGCAGAGGCAGGCGGATCTCTGTGAGTTCAAGGCGGGCCTGGTCTACATAGTCAGTTCCAGGACAGCTGGGGCTACAGGGAGACCCTGTCTCAAAAAGACCAAAAAAATAAATAAGGAATGATTGACTTAAGAAAGTAACATAATTAAAAGTGGAATGTAGTTCATAAGTTGAAAAGAAAGGAATTCATAATTTTAACTGCAGTTGCCACTTCTGAGCCATGACTCCTTGGCGTAAACTCGAAACTTCAGAGCCCTCATCCAAACGGCACTTCCAGCTTGCCACTGGCGCCGCTCACGACATAACGGTTGTCCCGCCTCCTCCAGGTAGTTCAGCCAATAGCCGTACAGTGCTCGCAAGATTGGCATTTGGTCTGTCCAATAGAAACTCGTCTCTTCTCCGCCGACGGAGCAGCCGGATGAGGGTTTCTCTCCCGCGGGAGTCTCACGCACGGATCCGCGGTTCTCGCGAGGACGCTCGGAGCGCTCCGCTCTTTCCCGAGGCGGACTGCTCACGTGATGAGTTCTGGTCCAATCGGCGAGTGGACCGCGGGGGTCGCCGTGGTTCCCGCCAAATACGAGCGCTGCGGCCGCGGCGGCAGCAGCAGCGGCGCGAGCGGGAGGCCGAGAGCGCAGCGCGGCCTGACGGGAGTTCGAGCCGCCGCCGCCGCCATGCTGGACGAGCCCGAGGCCGCGGCGCCGCGGGCCGCAGGTCGGTGAGACTATAATGTGCGGGCCAGGGGGGAAAAAGGCACCGGGAGAGTCGGGGGGCGACTGTGCGAGGCACCTACGGCCCCGTGACCCCAAAATAAGTTGGAGTTTGCAACAGGAGGCGAAACTCAAGCCCTGGGAGGGGCTGCAGGCTGCTTCGGAGGGTCCCCAACGTATGTGTCCCTCAAATAAATTGGACTTTGTAGCAGCAGGGTAAACTGAAACAGAGTAGTCAGGTTTGCTGGGTTCGTAATTATTTGGATTCCTCTCTGTTGTAGGAGGGGAAACTGAAGCCCCAGGGAGGGGGAGGAGTGGGTTGGGCGGGGCGGCGGCAAGTCCTCGGTGTCCCTCTAAACAAATTGGATGTTTGCAACAGGAGTAGAAACTGAGGTCCCACGGAGGCAGAATAGTAAGCTTTGCTGGGTCTCCAAAGCATGTGTGCCCCCCTAAATATGTTGGACTTTGTAGCAGGCTGGGAAACTAAGGCCCCAGGTAAGATGAATCAGCTTTGCTGGGTCCCCTAGTGCATGTGTGTCCTCATAAATTCGCATCAGGAGGGGAAACTGAGACACTATGGAGGAGCAAGAGTCAGCTTTTTAGATTATCCAGACTGTGTCCCTTAAACAAGTCCGACCTCTGCATTGTGGGGAAACTGAGGCCACTCTGGCTTGAAACCTCAGAGTAGCTGTAGCTGGGTGGGGCAGGGGAAGCCCAGGGAAGAGAGTTTGGTGGGGAGGATGACCAGAGAGCTGGGTGTTCTCTGGGTCTTCAGAGGGGTCTTCTGTGATCCTGGTGTGTCCCCTGTCAGTTAACTTTTGGACGGGGTCTTTGTGGCTCGCTGCAGGCCTCCCTAAGCATGGGGTGTTCCATCATCCCCCCGCCTTGAATCGGTATGGTTCCCCCAGCACTTGGCAGTGTCCCAGTGCATGTATATTGGTTGGTTGAGGGCTGTGAAGGATGGGAACTAATCTAATTGACCAAAGTTTCAGTGTCTGCATGATAGGGCCATTCATTTTGTTTGTTTTTAACTAAGGCAGGATGTTTAAACAAACACCACTTTCTGTGACTGTGTTGTTTTTTTTTTAAAGAAAAAACAAAAAAGCTGATTTTCCTGGTCCACATCTTGGTCCTAACTTCTTTCTAGAAGCTGAGGCAGGAGGATCACAAGTTTGAGGCCAGCCTGGGATACATAGGGAGATTCTATCACCCCCATTTCCAAATACCTATATGCATACATATATACATGTATGTGTATATGGGCTACTTGTCTCATGAGGGGTAGAGGTGCTTGCTGCCAAGCCTGACAACTGGAGTTTGATCTCCGGACCCACTGGTTAGGCAAGGACAGAATCCTGTAAACTGTCCCCTGACCTCCATAGAGATCCCGTACAAACACACACTAAATAAATAAGTAATTTAAAGATTATTTAACCTTCAGATTAAAAACTTAATTTTTAGTAGTAGAAAACTTGAAGGAGGTGCCCCCTTTGTTCCAAACAGAAGAAGGTGAAAGAATCTTCTGGGCTTGTTTTTTTGTTTCCAGCTGGGTGAGCCGACCATCTCCACTGTGGACACTTGAGGGGAGTTTTGGTAAGGGGAAGTCAGATTTTTTTTTTTTGAGACAGGGTCTCCCTGTAGCCCCAGCTGTCCTGGAACTCACTATGTAGACCAGGCTGGCCTTGAACTCACAGAGATCCGCCTGCCTCTGCCTCCCAAGTGCTGGGACTACAGGTGTGCACCAACATGCCCGGCTGGGAAGTCTGTTTTTATGTAACTTACACAGTTTATGTAAAGTCTCCCAAAATAACTGAACTAGATTTTTTTTACCCTAGGACATACAGGCTTAGAAGCAGGTGTGTACTTCTAAACGCAGCTATTTAAAGATACTTACCCAAAAACTTGAGTTCTGTTTATGGTCAGTTCTGCATCAACTTTGATATTCTTAGGTGCTTTTCTGGAGGTTTTTATCTGTTTTGGTGGAAAATAGTCTCCCTTTTGACTTTTTTTTTATAGCCCAGCCTAGTCTCCAATTCCTTTTGCAGTCCATGCTGTCACTGAACTCCTGATCCTCCTGCCTCCACCTTCTGCATGCTGGGATGACGGGCATGCACCAGCATGTCTGGTTTATGGGGTGCTAGGTATGAACCCAAGGACCTTGTGCATACTTTACCTACTGAGCTACAAGCACTCTGCCCACTCAGCTACAAGCATGTATCTACTGAGGCACAGGCATTCTGCCTGCTGAATTGCAGCCATCTTTATTGTGTTTTTTTTTTTTTTTTCATTGTGATTTAACATCACATGACTCCTGTGATACATTGTGTTCTTTTTAAAAATATTTTATTTTCTGTGTATGCATGAATTCTCTGCATGTATGTAAGTGCACCTGTGTCTTACAATGCCTGTGGAAGGCAGAAGAGGCTGTTGGATTCCCTGGAACTGGGGTTATGGACAGTTGTTGGCTGTCATGTGGGTACTAGGAATGGAACCTGGGCCCTCCACAACAACAACCAGTGTTCTTAACCACTAACCATCTCTCCAGCCTGGAAACATTGTGTTCTTTATAAAATAAAGACAATGACCCTCTGCCTTTAAAAAAAATTACACTTGGGGGCTGGAGAGATGGCTCAGTGGTTAAGAACACTGGATGTTCTTGCAGAAGACCTAGGTTTGAATCACAGCACCCACATGGCAGCCAGTTCCAGGGGATCCAACAGCCTCTTCTGACCTCCACGGGCATTGCACGACACGGGTGCACTTACCTACATGCAGGCAATACACACAGACACATAAAATAAAAATAATAAATTTTTTTTTTAATTACACTTGTTTGTCCTGCATGCCACAGTATGACCATATGGAGATTAGAGGACAACTTAGAGTCAGTTCTTTCCTTCTGTCATGTGGGCCCCAGGGAATTGAACTCATGTGATCAGGCTTAGTGGCAAGCCCCTTTACCCACTGAGCTATCTTGCCAGCCCTGTTTGTTTCTTCCTGTCTCTAGCCCTAGTTGACCTGGAACTGTATGTAACCCAGGCTGACCTTAAACTTGAGGCTGTCCTCCTGCCTCAGCTTCCTGAGTGCTGGGACGACAGACCTGGGCTCCTTCTGTGTCTGGCTCCCCCATCTCTTTTCCTTCATTGTGCCTTCTATTTTGGTTACTGTATTTGTTAGTTTCTAGTATATTCTATATTTCAGGCCCTGAGGAAGGTGGTCTGGGTCCAGCATGAACTGGTTGCTACTGTAGTGAGCTGGCTGTTTAGGGGGAGGCATAATAAGAATTTCAGGATGGAAAAAAAGAATTTCAGAATGAATGCCACAAAGAAATTAAAATTGCTCAATGTGTTGAGATTTTGCTGGGGGATCTTTTTAGAGACAAAAGATCAAGGTCTCCCTGTAGCCCCAGCTGGCCTGGAACTCACTATATGTAGACCAGGCTGGCCTTGAACTCACAGATCCCAAGTGGTGGGATTAAAGGCATGCGCCACCATGCCTGGTTTGTGTTGAGATTTTGAGCCAAAGAATTCTGTGTGTCTGTCCGTCCGTCCGACCTGCTCACTACAGACTGTTTAAGGGTGGGGGTCTCTGGCTTGTATCAACTAGAGGTTAGCACCCCTCAAGCCCGTCCCCATTGTGTCAGGCCCTCCAGGGGGCTTGGCTAGTGGGCTCAGCTGGTAAAAGGACTTGATATCAAGCCTAACAACTTGTGTTTAGTCCCTGGAACCCACAGAGAACTGACTTTCACAGGTTGTCCTCTGACCACCACCACACATGCACTTTGGCACGTGTGTGTGTATACACAGACATGTAAACAATAAATATGGGAAAAGGGCAGGAGAGAGAGCTTAGCAGTTAAGAGCACTGGCTGCTTTTGCAGGGGACCCATGTTCAGTTCCCAGCACCCACATGGCAGTTAACAACCATCTGTTAACTCCAGTTCCAGGGGATCCAACGCCTGACCTTTACACATGTAGAGGTCAGAGGACAACTTTTGGGAGTGTTCTCTCCTTCTACTATGTGGGTCCCAGAGATCAAACTCAGGTTGTCAAGCTGGTGGCAGGTGCCCTTATCCACTAAGCATCTTGCCCATGCAAGGAAACCTTTTTCAAGTCTGTAGAAGTGGGCTGGGGTGGTTCTCACCTGTGATTGTAGCCCTTGGGAAGCTTAGGCAGGAGGATTGCCATGAGTTTAAGCTCAGCCTGGGCTTCAGAGCAAGACTGCCTCAAAAACCAAACCCAGATAGTTATGGCACTTTTTAATCCCAGCACTCAGGAGGCAGAGGCAGGTAGGTCTCTGAGATTGAGGCCAGCCTGGTGTACATAGTTCCAGGCCAGCTGAGGTTACAGGGAGACCCTTTTGAAAACAAAATCAGCAAAGAGTAGATATATCAAATGTCCCCCTTGGGTCACCAGTTGTCCCTTGTTGCTTGTAGCTATTGGCTGGCACGAGGCTCACTAATCCCTGCCTTGGTGTTTTTACCCACAGCTGTGGACTGCAGAGACAGGCGGGCCTTTGCTGGAAAGAAGTTGATACAAGGTAACTGCCATCTGTCTTCTGATTGGTCCCCTCACTGGTCTGGGAGGGAACACCTGCTCCTCCATAAATTTGTGGCCTTTTTTCCAGAATAGTGGGTATTGAAATGTTTTACATCTCAGGTGGTTTTTGAAGCTTTGTCTTTATTTCTAGTGTGGGGGTCAAACCTAGGGCCCTGCTGCTCCTGTTAGCCACCATTGAGCACAACCTCAGTGCCAGATTTTGCTTATTTTGGGATATGATATGAAATTTGGTTGTTTTCTCTTTAAAAATTTTTATTTTATAGAGCTGTAGAGATGGCTCAGTGGTTAAGAGCCCAGGCTGCTCTTGCAGAAGACCTGGGCTCAATTCCCAGCAGCTAACAACCATCCATAACTCTGGTTCCAGGAGATATCCAGTACCTTCTGTCTTCTGTGGGAATTGCACAGGTGCAGTTACACACATGAAGGCAATACATACATACACATAAAGTAAAAAAATTTTTTAAATACTATTTTATGTGTATGTTTCCAGCATGTAGGAGCACCACATGTGTGCAGTTCCCCCAGGGACCATAAGAGAGCATCAGATCCCCTGGAACTGAAGTTAGGGGCAGTTGTTAGCTGCCATATGGGTGCTGGAAACCAAACCCAGATCCTCTGCAAGAGTAGCCAGTGTTTTTAACCACTGGGCTATCTCTCCAGTCCTCCATGAGGTTTTTTTTTTTAATTACATTTATTGTGTGTATGTGGTGGGGGAGGGGGTGCCATAGTCCGAACACAAAGATCAGAAGACAGCTTGTGAAAGACAGTTCTCCCCTTCCAACATGTAGGTCTAGGGGATCAAACTCAGATTGTTGGGCTTGGCGGCAAGCTCCTTTACCCGCTGAGCCTTATCGCAGGACTTTCCACGGTCTTCCTCCTGTGGAGATGTCCTGCGAGGGCAGCAGAAGTCTTGGCACAGCTGCCCAAGCAGTGCACCATGCTTTATGGGAGGACAAATGCCTTCTTGTGGAGAAAAGGCTGTGACCTTGGCCCCACTGGGCACTGGATTTTGTCATGCACTTGGCCTTGGTGACTGTAGCAGCTCCCTCGTTGGGCTCCACAGCTCCAGCAGCCTGTCTCCTAAGCTGGGGATTGTAGGTTTGGTGTTTGACATTACAAAGGGATTATCCAGCAGTGTGTTGGCACCTCAACGGATGAAGTAGGTCAGGGCGGTGGGAAGGGCCTGAGTTCCAGCCCAGCCTTCAGCAGCCCCCTTTTTTTGCTCTTTTTGAGACAGGATCTCCCTGTAGCCCCAGCTCTCCTGGAACTCACTTTTTAGACCAGGCTGGCCTTGAACTCACAGAGACCCACCTGCTTCTGCCTCCCAGTGCTGGGATCAAAGGCGTATGCCACCATGCCTGCCATCAACAGCCCCTTTTTAAAGCTAAACTTTCACCCCAAATCCAGTATGGCCCCTTGTACACAAGCCCGTGGACCATTCATACATGGGGCAGTGTCCCCTGTGCGATCTCTGAAGGGTCTGCTCTTCTCTTTGCAGCCCGCCTGCCCTTCAAGCGCCTGAACGGCCCCAAGGAGAAAGCTGAGGACAGGCAGCCACCCTATACTTCCTTGGAAGACAAAGTCCCTGGTTTAGAACCCTCTTTGGACAATTTGGAGCACACCTGTCACACGGCTTCCAATCTGGGCTTGAGTCCAAAGCTGGTGAATGGCCGAGGCCCAATGGACAGCTTCCTGGGCAGCAGGATGAAGGCAGGCCAGGGTGTGGTCATCATCGACCTGACTGAAGACTCCAGTGACCTTCCTGATAGCCCTGCCACCTTGCTGGCCCAGGCTACCATCAATGGAGTCAGCTTGGGACCCACAGAGCAGCAGGGGCCAGCCTGGGTGAAGGACTCCAGTGAGGAGCTGGCGTGCCCCCCAGAGACACTGCCAGATATTGCATGTCCTACGGAGGACAAGCCCCATGGCCTGGGAGGCCCAGGGAGGCCCAGTGGCTGCAAGGCAGGCTCCCCACAGAGCTGTCCTGAACCCACCACTGGCCCAAGGCTGTGCCCTCAAACCAATGAGGATGGCTGGAGTGAGGCGGGGGGCATCCTGTTCAAGGAGAAAGTGCCTGTGGTGCTCCTGCAGGACGTCCTGGCCTCCAAGCTGCCCCACACCCCCTCTCCTCCTTCAATGCCCCTGGACAAGAGCACCACCTCGGAGAGCGAGCTGTTGGAATCCTGTCCTGAGGATGACTCCATGGCCAGCCAGTCCAGTCTTAGCTCGGCCTCTTCCAGCAGCTCACCTGAGGTGCCGGCAGCTGCCCCCCCACAGCACCACCAGAGCAGCCCCCCTTGCACACCCATCTGCAAAGTGAGTACCTAGAACCCCAGGCTGCAAGCAGGTCCTGACCCTAAAAGAGTTCCTGGTGGGCTACCCATGTGGCTGCTGGCTCCTGAGCAGGGCCTCACACTGGTCTGCACTTCCCAAGCATGTGTAATTCTTCCTGAGATCAAAAAGCAGGAAGTGTGCAGAGTGCTCACTCTGTACAGCACCCTGGGTTCATCCCTAGCACCCCATAAACCAGACACAGTGGCACATGCCTGTCATCTTAGCACTTGGAGGTGGAGGCCTGGAGAGACAGGGTCTCCCTGTAGCCCCAGCTGTCCTGGAACTCACTATGTAGACCAGGCTGGCCTTGAACTCACAGAGATCCACCTTCCTCTGCCTCCCAAGTGCTGGGATTAAAGGTGTGCGCCACCACACCTGGCAGTTCCTGTGATTTCTAAACACCATGGCCATGACCTAAAGTATCCTGGGGGAGGTTAGGGGCAACAACTCCCTATCACAGTCCATTGTGAGCAAAGCCAGAGCAGGAGCTTGAAGGAGTGCTGGGGAGAACTGTAGCAAAGACCCGGGAGGAAGGTGCTCACACAGCCCAGGCCACCCACCCAGGTGTGCACTGCCCACATGGGGCTGGACCTCCAGCATCAATCAGCTGTCAAAAAATGCCCCATGGACAGGTCCACAGGCCAAGCCGTTGGAGGTGATTCCTCAGCCAGGTTCCTGCTTCACAGGTGTTGCTAGTTTGTGTCAAGCTGACAGAAAATAGTGAATTTGAGGCCACCCTGGGCTACATGAGTCCTTGTCTCAAACAGATTTTCAATGTGATTCCAATACTTGGGAGGCTGAGGCAGGAAGAACATTGTGAGTTTGAGGCCAGCTTGGGGTACATAAGAAACAGTTGGTCCCTAATGCCAAAATGTTAGTTTTCGGGTACATGGCGCTTTTGTTGGTTCACAGTGGGTTTTTACATAGGAGTGGACTCTAGTATGGATGGTTTCAGGAGCTGCACCTGCGCTGCCTGGTTCAGCCACTGTGGCTGTGTGGATTTTGGTTTGTTATGTGTTATGACCTCCCTTGCTGAGACCTACCCTGTCCTGGCTTGCGGGGTGGGGGAATTGCTTTCTGTTCCCTTTATAGATGGAGAACACAGAGCCCATCTGTCTCTCCATGGTTTCTGATTCCCTGTTTATCATCCTCTATCCCATCACCTAAATTTCTTTTTTAAAAAAATACTTATGGGGCTGGAGAGATGGCTCAGCAGTTAAGAATATTGGTTGTTCTTGCAGAAGAGCTGGGTTTGAATCTCAGCATCCACATGGCAGCTAACAACTGTCTAACTCCAGTCCCAGGGGATCTGACAGGCTCTTCTGACCTCGGCGCGCATTGCACGACACGGGTACACTTACCTACATGCAGGCAATACATGCATACACAAAAAATAAAATAATAAAATAAAAATGTGCCAGGCATGGTGGTGTATGCCTTTAATCCCAGCACTTGGGAGGCAGAGACAGGAGTATCTCTGTGAGTTAGAGGTCAGCTGGGGCTACAGGGAGACCCTGTCTCAAAAAGAACCCCCAGGGCTGTAGAGATGGCTCAGCAGTTATGAGCACTGACTGCTCTTGCAGAAGACCTGGCTTTGATTTCCAGCACCCACATGGTAGCTACGAACCATCCTTAACTCCATTGCATGACATGGGTACACTCACATACATGCAGGCAATACACTCACACACAAAATAAAAAATAATAATAAAATATTTTTAAAAAGACCCCTCCCCAAAAATTATTTTTATTTTCTGTGTATAAGTGTATTGCTTGCATGTATGTAAGTGCACCCATGCGTCCAGTGCCCGAGGAGGTCAGAGGAGGATGTCAGATCCCCTGGAACTGGAGTTATGGACAGTTGTTAGCCACCATGTGGGTGCTGGCAACTGAACCCAGGTTCTCTGCAAGAGCAGCCAGTACTCTTAACCACTCAGCCAGCTCTATAGCCCCCACCCCAATTTATTTCTTTGGGGTTCCAACTCCCACATTGAGGAATAAATGTGTTTGTTCCGTGACATTGCAGCATGGAGCCCTGGTTTCCATTAATTTTGCTTTTTCTTCCTATGTCTGTGTCATGGTGACATTTATGTGTGGTCAGGTGTGTGCCCTGCACTCAGCTCTGACTCTCTGTGCTGCTTTTGGGGATGGTGGGGGTCTCCCTGTAGCCTTAGCTGGCCTGGAATTCACTATGTAGACTAGGCTGACCTTGAACTTGCAGAGATCCTCCTGCCTCTGCCTCCCAAGTGTTGGGATTAAAGGCGTGTACCGCCAGGTTGGCTTGATTTAGCTTTTGACATGGGATCTCACTGTAGCCCAGGCTAGCCTTGAACTTCTGACCTTCCTCTCTACCTGGCAGTGCTGGGATGACAGCCATCTGCCACATCCAGTTTGTGTGGTGCTGGAGATGACCAGGGGCTTTGTGCACACCAGGTGAGCCCTTACCCACCAAGCCTGGCCTTGGTTTTTCTTTCTTTTTTTTTTTTTCTTAATTGTTTGAGAATTTTGTATGTGTGTTTTGATCAAATCTACCTCATTCCCTCCCCTCTAATTCCACACATCCCCCGAACTTCACAAGTTGTCTTTTTTTTTTTTTTTTTTTTTGTTTTTTTTTTGTTCTTTTTGAGACGGGATCTCCCCGTAGCCGCAGCTGTCCTGGAACTCACTATGTAGACCAGGCTAGTCTTGAACTCACAGAGATCTGCCTGCCTCTGCCTCCTGAGTGCTGGGATTAAAGGTGTGCACCACCACGCCTGGCTACAAGTTGTCTTTTTAAACCCACTGAGTCACTTTGCGCTCTGCACAGCACTGCTGCTAGTAGCTTCTTGACTGGGGTGAGACAGAGGTCGCCATCCACACTGGGGCTCTGTCTGGCTTGATCAGGTCTTGCATCTGTAGGCCTCCACTGCCTCTGGCTCTTTCACTCTTCCCTGACTATCCCTAAGCCTTTGGGGGTGTGGACTGCGGTGCTGCCACTTAGCGCTGAGCACCTGGCAGTCTTACTCTCTGCAGTTGATAGTAGAGGGTCGAGCTGTGCTGATATCTGTGGTGGCGAATCACTGGAGTGTGTCTAGCGCATCTCTTTGGTGGCTTGGGCACACGGGTGGCAGGTGGGAGTCTGGCCAGTGGTGAGGCCTCAAGCAGAGCCCTGGCGTTTGTGTTGCTGGTGTGCCAGTTACAGTCTGAGCTTGCAGAGACAGCCTGGGAGGACTATGGGTGGCCTTTCTCCTCTGGTCATAGGCATAGAACCTTCTAGCATTATGAAATCTGAGCAGGTGTGAAGCCCTCAGGTCAGTGCCTGCTTGATTTCACAGGTCAGTGCCTACTTGGATTTCTGCTTGTGTCCAGACTTGCCAGGTTTTCTCTTTCCAGGTGACCCTAGTTTGTGTTAATTTGACCAAAAGCAATCAGCATATCATGTTCTACAACTTCTGAACCTAGCGTGAGGTCTCAGCATCATGTTCTGGTGTACAACCACAAACCATGCAACAGTCATCCCTGTGGACCTGCTCAGCGGCTCCAGAAGACAGAGTCCACAGCTGGCCTGTTAGCCCAGTTGTCCCGGTCACAGGGTCACTTCATCCCAGTTTTTACCTTCTTCACCCCCTTTTTTTTTTCTGGTCTTTTTGAGACAGGGTCTCCTTGCAGCCCCAGCTTCCTGGAACTATGTAGACAGGCTGGCCTCGAACTCACAAAAATCCGCCTGCCTCTGCCTCCCAAGTGCTGGGATTAAAGACGTGCGCCACCACACCCGGCCTCTTCACCCCATTTAACCCTTCCTATTCTGTTACTCTTCTCTCCCCTTTATATCACTGCATTCTCTCTCCCCTCCCATGAACACCCCCCTCCCAGTGACCCCCATACTAGTTTCCTGACTCTGGATTTTCCACTTGAAACAGGGCCTATAAAGATTCAGAGCTCTCACCAGCTTATGATAGAGAACTTGCAAGTTCGGCTTTCTGGGTCTGGGTTACCTCTCTTACAGTGATGGTTTCCTATGTTTTTCATTATTTTGATTTTCCTTTGTCCAATGGACAGCTGGTGGACATCTAGGTTGTTTCCATTTCCTGGCTGTTGTGGAAGGGGCAGCGATGAGCATGGATGTGCAGTGTCTATTGGGGGATGTGAAGTCCTTTGGGTCTGTGTCCAGGAATGGTACAGCTGGATCACACAGGAGAGCTGAAAAGCCTCACTCTGAGGCATCAAAGTAGGTGCAGCACCTTCACCCTGTGTGCATCCTTAGCCTCTTACAGACACTTTAAGTTTTTTTGTTTTGTTATTTTGAGGCAGGGTCTTTGCATAGCCCTAGTTGCCTGGAATTCACTATATACACTAGGCTGGCCTTGATCTCGCAAAGATCCACCTATTTCTGCCTCCCTAGTGCTAGGATTAAATGTATGTACCACCCTGTCCAGCCAATTTTTAAATTTATTTTGTGTATGTGTATTTTCCTGTGTGTATGTAAGTGCACCCATGTTGTGCAGTGCCTGCAGAAGCCAGAAGAGGGCGTTGGATTGCCTGGAACTAGAGTTACAGATGGTTATTAGCTGTCAAGTGGGTGCTGGGAACCAAACCTGGGTCCTCTGCAAGAGCAGCCAGTGCTCTTAACCACTGAGCATCTCTCCAGACCCACAACTTACTGTTGTTTACATTTATTAATTTTATTGTGCATCTTTTTGGAGATCAGAGGACAACTTTCAAGATGTGTTCTCTCTACCATGTGGGTCCCAGGGCTATAACTCAGATCATCAGGTTTGGTGGCAAGAGCCTTCACCTGATGGCTTTTTTTTTTTTTTTTTTTTTTTCTTGTTTTTTTTTTTTTTTTTTTTTTTTTTTTTTTTTGTGGTGTTTCAAGACAGGGTCATATGATGTGGCCCTGGCTGTCTGAGCTCACAGAGATCTCTCTGTCTCAGAGGCCCAGGTGCAGGGTCACCTGATGGCCTCGCAGCACAATTTCGACTTCTCACGGCTCCTGAAGCTGTGTTTTGTGACATAGGTCTGTCATTCTGATGGTGCGACTGTTGCCAGGTCTGCACTTCTGCCTCATAGTAGTCCAGAGGCCTAGGATGTTACATGTAAGCCCCCCACACCTGTAGGCTCCCATGCGTTTAGCCAGACTCAGCGCCACTGGAAGCTGGACCCTGCCTCCCAAGTGATGGCAGGCAGGAGGACCTCCAGTCCCAGAGTCCCAGCCTGGGCTGCATAGCATGGCCTCCATTCCCAAAGCAACGGAGGGGAGTTCCGGAAGAAAACTTGGGATCTGTCATGAACATGTTCAGACTTTCCCTTGTCATTCTACCCTGAGTCAGACAGCAGGGGCGTTGCACACTGGTATGTCAAGTCCAGAGATGAATTCAAGTCTGTAGCCACGCCTGGGTGCTATGCACAAACACCCTGCGTTATGTGGGCATGTGAGTGCTGTCATGGGGACTTGGGGACCTGCTATAGGTGCTAAGAGCTGGGGTGACATGCCCCTCACCCCTAGCACAATCCTGTCATCCCAGCACTAGGGAGATGGAGTCAGGAGGATCAGGAGTTGAGGGTCAGCCCAGCCTGGTTTATGTGGTGCTCCGCCCACTGAGTCACAACCATAGAGTGTATGCACGTGTGTGTCTGTGTGCATATGAGAGCCACAGCATCTATGAGTAGTCCCCACATTCATCTTGAACTCTTGATCTAGAGATTCTGTTTCAGCTTGCAGGTGCTAGGGGTGAGGCATGGCTCCTCAGCTCTTAGCTACATGAGACCTTGTCTCAAAACAAAACTCCCAATCCCACGATAGGCTCTTATCCTGTGAGCCATCCCTCTGACTTTTGTTTGTTTTGCTGGCAGTCTCCTCCTGGAGATGGGCTCCAGGCCTGCTGCAGCTCTGCTTCCTCAGCCTGCTGAGTGCCAGGCTCATCTGCCTTGCTAGCCCCTGTTGTTTTCCATTGTGCCTGAGAGTCCCTCAGACTGGCCTCATCTCGCATTAGAACTACATTTATGCTCCTGCCTTGGGCTCCCCTGATGCTGGGGTGAGCCCTGTGCATCCTGTCCTCTCTGCCCTCATCTGCTGCTGATGCTGCCCTGCAGCTGCACTTGCCCCAGCCATCCCTGCCTTACGCAGCAGGGCCTGGACCAGCTGGGCTGGCTGGATGGACACTGCTGCCAACTTTACCTGCCTTGTTTTTGTTTTTGAGACAAGATCTCCCTATGTAGCTCCAGCTGGCTTGGAGCTCACTGTGTAGACCAAGCTTGCCTGAATCTCACAGAGATCTGTCTGCTTCTACCTCCCAAGTGCTGGGATTAAAGGTGCTAGCCGCCAGGCCTGAATGGCTTAAAACTGGGAGCACTGGCCTTCAGTGTGGCAAATGCCCATGGGCTGGACAGGCAAAACCCTTGTTGAGGTCGTCTGGCACTAGTGCTATACCGCCACATGCCTGGTTGAGGCTTAGTCCCCTGGATGCTGGGGTGAGCTGGGTCAGGCCTGCAGTGTCCCTAGCTTCCGTGCCCTTGTTTGAGAACAGCCAGTCCCTGTGGCAGTCAATTGACCAGTGCTGTTGAGCTGACCCCAGCTGCCCTTTTAATGTCTCAGTAAGCTGCCCTGGGACTCGCTGCCCTCCTAGGGGCCCAGGATTACAGCCCTGTACCAGCAGCCTGGCCCAAGTGGACACCCCACCTTCTGCAAAACAGATGTGCAGGCATGTCACTGGAGGCTGGGCAGAGCATCATGGAAGTCCCACAGGACAAAGCCATAGATGGGACCTGAAAGACTACAGGCTCCTCTCAGGCCTGTCCTGGGTCCTCCCTACCTTCTAAAAGCCTTGTTGCCTCCTGTCCTGGCGGTCATTGCTATCTGTCCTGGAGCCTCTGTCTGACATACTGGACCTTTGCAGCCTTGGAAAGGCTGTTTCTTGTGTTGCATCTGTTTTTGTTTTATTTCACCTTTGTCTTGCTGATGATAAATTCAGAGCCTCACACAGTCTACTTAAGCTCTGACAGAAGAGCCACGCCCCCAGCCCCTCACTGCCCCAGCTGGACAGACATCCCATGTCCCCTTAGGTGGTCTAGATGGAGTCTCTTGGGGAAAGTGACTAAACTCCACACTTACAAACTTGTTCATTTTATTTCAGATACCCAAGAGGCCAGTGAAGAGCTCCACGGAAAAGAGCAAGACAAAACTGCAAAGAGTAAGGAGGCCCCACCCCCAGGTTCCAAGTCTTCTCTCCTGGGGCGGCAGCTTCAGTTGCAACACACTCAGCTATGCTGAGGCTCTGATTGCTCAGTGTCAGCTGCTCAGTGACTCTGTCATGCTTATGTGAGGGTCACCTTATGTGGCACACAGCCGTTACCTTCTTCCTTACTGTGGTCTGGGATCCCTTGGGCTGCCTCACTCCTGCAGTTTGGAAGAGCACCATGGGGTGGGCTTGCTTCACCGGGCCTTCCTGTGTTTCCTTAGAGAGCCGCTCACCTCTTAAGGGTTGCTCTGGGGTCAGCAGGGTGCAGGGGAGCTGGGGTGTAGCCGTGGGCCTTGCTGAATGTATGCTGATCCCAACCTGCAGCCCAGGCTTGCCTCGTCCTCCCTGGTGATGGGATTCAGACTGCACTGCAGGCCCCATCAGCTGAGCGTGCAGTACATGCACCAGCGTGGCTGTCAAAGTCTCAACAGGGCTGAGCTGGGGCTGGGCCCCGGCTGAGCGGGTGGAGGAGCTGCCTTCTGGACTGTACCCATCCCAGCAGCATAGGGTTACCTACAGCTGATGTTGCCATGGTGCCGGGTGGAACCCAGGGCTCCGTATCCCATGGAGTCCCACAGCCACGCTCCCCACCCTGCCTCACCGGGTCCCACCGTCTATCAGGACCGGGAGCAGCTGAGGGAGGAGAAGGAGAAGCTGAGGGAGGAGGCGCGACGGGCCAGGGAGGAGGCACGTAGGAAGAAGGAGGAGGAGAAGGAGCTGAAGGAGAAGGAGCGGCGGGAGAAGCGGGAGAAGGAGGAGAAGGAAAAAGCTGAGAAGCAGAGGCTCAAGGAGGAGCGGCGCAAGGAGAGGCAGGAAGCCCTCGAGTGAGTGCTTCCCACGGTCCTCCCCCCACTGTGCATGGCCAAGACCAGGTACAGGTCCTCCTAATCTTCCCTCCCCTCCTGACCCCGCAGGAGGGGCCGGTCCGTGTCTTCCTCCATTGTCCTCTACTCAGGGCACAGGCCCTCCCTGCACTCTACCGTCTCGGAGTGCTTCTGTGGCTCTCTGAAGTTTTCCTTTCTTAATGTTCCAGCCCTGTCTGGATTCCTTCTTGGTGACCTGGCTGCTCTTGCTGGAGTGCGTAGCTATCGGGTGTGCCGACAGCTTGTTTATTTTATGCTTGGAAGTATTTTCAGTTTTTTAACCTAATAAGAAAATGAAAACCATTCTTTTATTGTCCTGCAAGTAAGATCAGTGAATGGCAAGTGATTTTTTATTTTTCTCAAAATTTTTTTTTTGGCGGGGAGACTTGGCTCTGTAGCACTGGTGGGCATTGCACTCAATATGTAGCACAGGGCCACTCCTAGCAGTTTTTTTTCTCTTTTGAAGCAGGGTCTCATGTAACCAAGGACGACCTTGAGCTCCTGATTGTCCTGCTCCATCTCCCAAGTGCTGGGATGACAGGCCTGGTTTCTGTGGTACTGGGAACAGAACCCAGACTTGCATGCTTGCTGGGTGAGCACTTCACCCAGTTAGTGCGGCTCGCACCAGGGATTTTACTGGGTCATGGTGGCGTATATGTTTTTAGTCCCAGGCTGGCTGGGGCTACAGGAAGACCCTGTCTCAAAAAAGAAATGTAATAATTTTATATCAATCTGGACCTTTCTCCTATCCCAGGGCCACCTATAATCCCAGCACTGGGGAAGCTGAGACAGGAGGATTCCCAGTTGGAGGCCAACCAAGCCTGCAAAACCCTGTCTAAAAACTAAAAAGGAAATATTTTGTGTTGATGCATGTTCTCTTTTGTTGACTGGGTGTCAGCCTAGGAGTAAACTGGGAACAGCTACCCGGCTTCCATCCCCACTTCCCTTCAGAGCCTGTGCCAGAGCTGCCCAGCCTGGCTCACAGTCTGCCACTGTGTCCTTGTGGTCCACTGTGACCTCAGTGTGAGCCGTGGCCTTGCAGTGCACTCTGACCATGCTGTCCGCTGTCTACAGGGCTAAGCTAGAGGAGAAGAGGAAGAAGGAGGAGGAAAAGCGGCTACGGGAAGAGGAGAAGGTAGTACCCCGCCCACCTCAGAGATGCCCGTGGTCTTGGGTCCCTTGCCACCCTGCCAGCTTTCACGCTTACAACACGTGGGGCCCCCACAGGTCCTGTGAGTCTGTTTTGATGTGGTCTAGCCTGGGCTGCCTGTTTGCCCAGCTGTCTTCCCTCTGTTTCAGGAGCCTGGGTGTGATCTCGAGAGGCAGTGTCACTCTGAGGGGGGTGGTGTGCCTGAGAGTGAAGGACCCAGAATCCCCTTTCTCCTGGAGCATAGGTCTGACTGCTCTTCCTCCCTGCCTCCCATCACAGCGCATTAAGGCAGAGAAGGCCGAAATAACCAGATTCTTCCAGAAACCAAAGACTCCGCAGGCTCCCAAGGTGAGCAGCACCTTGCTCTCCTGAGGGTTTGTGCTCCAGGCTGCTTTTTGTCTGTGTGTGTATTGTTTATTTAGTGTGTGTGGATGTACATGTGTATGTCAGCATGTTCTTGTGTGCATATCTGTGGAAGCCGGACACTGACACTGCTTGTCCTCTTGTCTTCCATCTTATGTTAAAGTTCTGGGTTTTTGTTTTTCCTTTGGTCTTTTTGAGACGGGATCTTCCTGTAGCCCAGCTGGCCTGGCACTCACTATGTAGACCAGGCCGGCCTTGAACTTAGATTTCATCTGCCTCTTCCTCCTGAGTGCTGGGCATAAAGGCATGTGCCACCACCCCTGGCTTTAAGATTTATTTTTTATTTTTTTGTTTTTAATTTTTTTAAATGTGTATGTGAGTGTATTGTCTGCATATATGTAAGTGTACCCATGTTGTGCAGTGCTCATGGAGGTCAGAAGAAGGCACTGGATCCCCCGGAAGTGGAGTTAACAGACAGTTGTTAGCCGCCATGTGGGTGCTAGGAACTGAATCTGGGTCCTCTGCAAGAGCAGCCACGTCTCTAGCCCCTAAGATTTATTTTTATTTTATGTGCATGAGTGGTTTGCCTACATGTATGTTAAGTGTACCTGTGCATGCAATGCCTGGGGAGTTGAGAAGAGGGCAACTGATGTTAAAGACATTTGTGACCACCATGTCAGTGCTGGGAGCCGAACCTGGATCCTCTAGAAGAGCAGCCAGTGCTCTTAACCACTGAGTCAGCTCTGTAGCCTGTCATCTTGTGTTCTGATGGCATGACTGAGGAGCCAGCCACTCTCCTGGCATCTGACCTGCACCCATCTGCCATATGCCTGTCTTGGGTCTCATCTGTCCATTCAGGTTCTTTAAAGCACAACTTCTAGAACTCAGTGAGTTTTGACAGAGCCAAGCATCATCCAAGCAGGATGTTGCTCACCTGCCACCGTCCCATTGGGCCATTTTCTCTCACAGACCCTGGCTGGCTCGTGTGGCAAGTTTGCTCCCTTTGAAATTAAGGAGCACATGGTGTTGGCCCCGCGGTGCCGCGCTACCCTGGACCAGGACCTGTGCACACAGCTGGACCAGCTCTTGCAGCAGCAGGGTGGGAATGTATCTTTCCTCAGCGACCTCAAGGCCAGGCGGCCACTCACATCTGGACCTACTCGTAGTCGCAGCTGTGACACAGGCATCATCAACAGGTGAGAGCTGTGGTCAGCAGCCTGCTGGGCATCAGGCTGTGGGGGGCAGGGGGCTGCAAGCCAAGTACTGCAACGCTGGGCACTGTCTGACCCCAGGGATGTGTTGATCTTGGACAGCAGCGAGGTTGATGGTGTGCCTGAGAGGAGGAAGTTTGGCCGCATGAAGCTCCTGCAGTTCTCAGAGAACCACCGACCAGCATACTGGGGCACATGGAATAAAAAAACAGCAGTCATCCGGGCTAGAGACCCCTGGGCCCAGGACAAGGTGAACCCCACAGGGAAGAATGCCTGGGTGTCTGTGTTATCCCTGGTTTCCATGATGCCTAGCCGTGATGTTCTCCATGTGCCCCTCTTCCAGAACTTTCTGGACTATGAGGTGGACAGTGACGAGGAGTGGGAAGAGGAGGAACCTGGGGAGTCCCTGTCTCACAGTGAGGGGGTAAGGATCATGGGATGGGGTGCACAGGCCCAGGGGGCTTGTTTGTGGTTGGCATGGTAACCTGAAGCTTGGCCAGCAGGGGCTAGTGAGCACTTTCCAGGCAGCTACTGTGCCAACCACTGTGGTGCTGTGGCTCAGCCATGCCAGGCCTGGCTCCCCTGGCCTCTCTGGCCTGTGTGTATTTGTTTCCCCAGCTCCCCAGCCCTGCATGACTTAATGGGGTCCTACGGACACCCAGAGCCTAAAATGGCTTCTAGACGGTGCTGTGTGTTGTATGCTGTGCCACAGGAATGAGGCAGGGCCTTGTGTGCACATGGCCATTGCTCAGCACTGTCACCTGCAACCTCTCTTTAAGGGTGTGGTGTGTGTGTGTGTGTGTGTCAGTCACAGGGTCTCACGTAGCCCAGACTGGTCCTCAGCTCCTAATCTTCCCATTTCTCCATTTGGGGCGGGGTTGGGGGGACAGACACCACTGTGCCCATCTTTGTCTTGGGTGCTCCTGCCTCAGTGGCCAGCTCATTTTTTCTTCTCTTTGAGGATGAAGATGATGATGTAGGGGAGGACGAGGATGAGGATGACGGCTTTTTTGTCCCTCACGGGTACCTGTCTGAGGACGAGGGTGTGATTGAGGTGAGGCTTGCAGAGTGAGGGGCCCTTGTTTAGCTCCCTCTAAGGGTCCAGCCTCTGGCTTGCCGCAGGGCACTGAGCCTCAACATAGCTCTGCTGGGGAATCCCTTAGAGACAGCTCCAAGTGATAGACAGTCTGCAGGTATTGGCCAGGCCAGAGGGGAGCTTCTCCATGGGGTTAAAAGGCCCTAGAACCTTTTTGGCTGCAGTATGATTCACAGGCAGCCTGAACTTCGGATCCCTTGTCTACCTTGACGAGCTCTAACAAGGGATCTGCAAAATAAAGCAAGGCCATTCCAATAGTCTGGAAGGTTCCCCCAGCGTGGGGAGCCACAAAAACTCCCATGTGTTGGTTTTAGGGGACTGGGGTCAGACCTGAGCTGTGCATTTGTTTGACCAGAGGGGTTGGTGCCGCCCAACACCCTGTGTACCAGACAGAAGCGTCAAATGTCCCAGCCCTGTGCTGAGCTAGCTGCCATGCGGGGTTGGCAGTTTGGTCAAGTATTCATTAGGACAGAGTGGCCCAAGGCTTATCAGGCAAAGTCAGCAGAGCGTTGTGACTGTCAGGACTCAGAGCCAGCTGTCCTCTGGAAGTACCTCTGCCTCCTCCTAGCCTGAAGGCAGCGGGCATGGGCACTGAGCCAGGCTCTGCTCCCCACCTGCAGGAGTGCACAGACCCCGAGAACCAGAAGGTACGGCAGAAGCTGAAAGCTGAGGAGTGGGACGAGCTGCTGGCCAAGGGCAAGCGCTTCCGCGTGCTGCAGCCTGTGCAGGTCGGCTGCGTGTGGGCGGCTGAGGCAGCCAGCGCAGGTGCTGACCTCAGGCTGCTGCAGCAGTTTAGCGCCTGCCTGCTGGACACCACGCCACCCGATGAGGAGACGGTGCCCAAGGCCTCCAGGCGGGAGAAGAGGGACCAGCAGAGTGAGTGGGGCAGGCGGTCTCCAATAGATAGCAAACGCAACGCCAACAGCTGGGGATGAACCTGGACTTCACATGCTGCATTTGCACCTCAGCATCACCCTAGTCTTGTTCTTGGTGATTTTATTTACTTAGTCTTGGTGATTCTCATGCCTCAGCCTCCCGTGTGCTTGGATTGGGCATGCACCTCTATGCCTGGCTTGGTGATGATTTTAGTAGAACCTAGAGCAGAGAGTTAAGAATTGAACCTAGAGCAGAGAGTTAAGAATTGACAGACAGACCAGGTCCTAGCATGCAGTTTTGCACGTGCACACACGCGCCCCCTGGTATTCAAAACGAGGGAAGTCATGGCTCCAAGGGTACTAGGCCCTTGGAGCATCTTCAGCACCACCACATCCATGTGTCTGTCCCTGCAGTCCTGGCTCAGCTGCTGCCGCTGCTGCATGGCAATGTGAACGGGAGCAAGGTGATCATCCGAGAGTTCCAGGAGCACTACCGCCGCGGGCTGCTGAACCCACAGGAGCCTACTGGCCCCCCAAGCCCCTTGTCCAGCCCGCAGTCTCCCGAGGCCGCAGTGCCATCCAAGGCCAGGCTCAAACGCCTCATCTCTGAGAACTCTGCCTATGAGAAGCGGCCCGACTTCCGCATGTGCTGGTATGTGCACCCCCAGGTGCTCAGGAGCTTCGGCCAGGAGTGCCTGCCTGTGCCCTGCCAGTGGACCTACGTCACCACTACGCCTGTGCTCCGGGAGGATAGTGGCGTTCCTGCTGCGGGGTCTAGCCAGGGCACACCCGTACTAAAGCGCAAGCCCGGCGGCTCCATGTGCATCACACAGTTCATGAAGAAGCGCCGACATGACGGACAGGTGAGCTACAGGCTGGAGGTGGAGCCTGCATGTATGCCATGCTGCTCAGAGGCAGGGAGCACAGTGAGTCCTGGAGATTGAACTCAGGATGACTGAAGTCGGGCTTTGCTGCACTACCTTCTAGCCAGAGCAGCTTGAACAGCTTGAGGGCCACATTAAGACTGAGCCAAGGTCTAGTTGGTGTGCCCCATGCTCAGCATCACCCTGAAGCCAGTGGAGGGTCCCTGCCGGAGCTAGGTAGCTGGCCCTGCCTGCTGCTGCAGCTCAGTGGATGCCGTGTGAGGTCTGTCGTTTTGTGGCAGCAGCTCTCCAAAGCGGTGTTGGTGCAACAGCAGTAAGCCCTATGTGGCCACCCAGGCACAGTTTCCCTGGTGTCCCATCAGCTGCTCTGTCTCACAGAAGCCCAGCTGGTCACGTGTGCCTGGTGTCTCCTACAGCTGCCCTTCCTCTGCAACATCAGAGGCTGAGGTCACATCTGGCTCCTGGGCATTGCCCATTGCTGTGGACTCCAGACTCAGCCTGGGACCCTCCCAGGCAGGCCCATAGCAAAACACTTAGCCCTGTGTCACCACTGGAATGGCCCGTGACCCCTGCAGCTCTTGGTGATGGGGGTGCCACATGGCATATGAGGGTACTGGTGCATGGCACTGGCCCTGAGCAGCAGGCCCAGTAGGGCTGGACAGAGTACACTTGTGCTACTGGCCTTTACCCAACATTGACCCCCAAATTGTTAGACATGATGTGTCGTCCAAATGTCTCTGCTGGCAGGAGTCGTGGCTGCCTCCAGGATGACCCTGGGACCTGCATGGCCTCCGCAGCCCTAGATCTTGAGCTGCCCCATTTTGCTTAGGTATTTTTTTTGAGACAGGGTCTCCCTGTAGCCCAACTCGCTATGTAATCTGGGCTGCTTGCCTCTGCCTCCCAAGTGCTGGGAATGTGTATGTGTGTATTGCCTGCATGTGGGTAAGTGCACCCGTGTCATGCAATGCCCACAGAGGGCAGAAGAGGTTGTTGGGTCCCCTGGAGTTAGGGACAGTTGTTAGCTGCTATGTGAGTGCTAGGATTCGAACCTGGGTCCTCTGCAAGAACAGCCAGTGTTCTTAACTGCTGAGCCATCTCTCCAGCCCCCCGATTTATTATTTTTTTTTAAACTAATTTGTGATGGGGCAAACATGCTGGTGGGAACCTTCCCAGCCTGTCACCACCATCCTCAGAGGAGCCTGAGGCCACAGGGAGGTGGGACTTGCCCAAAAAGGCAAAATGAACTGGAAGCTTGAGTTCTTTGTGGTTCTGAGGGTGTGGATGCCTTATGGCCAGCGCCCTGCCCTGCTGATGGACTTTCCCTCATTCAGGCTGTCACTGAAGATGTGGATGGTTTCCAGGCAGACACGGAAGAGGAGGACGACGACGATGACTGTATGATTGTGGATGGACCAGACGTTGGGGGTGAGATGGGACTCGATGCCCTCACACCTGCACCTACTTTGAAAATGACAGGTGTTGGGAGACTTGGGAACCCTGGGGCTATCATATGAAGCCCTGAGTTCCCTGACCAAGCCAATGCCTTTCTCCACAGATGTCCTCGAACCCTGCGGAGCCACAGGTGTGGTGAGGATGGGTGTCGGTGACAGCTCACAGCCCACCAGCCTGCTGGGAACCTCCTGAGCATCAACTGCCATTTCCCGTGTAAAGAGCACTTTGTCCACTTCACAGGCCCTGGGTCTGGGTTAGAGAGGACACCCTGAGTCCTTCCTGGGGAAAGCTCCGCACAGCTGTGTGCTCATCCCCTTAATAAGGCATTATCCACACCTGACTGACAGACCTGCTCCACCTCAGTCAGGAGCAGTTGCTGGGGTCAAACTCTTGTTAATGAATTAAAGTTCTACAGATGCCCACGGCCGTGCGGTGGGCCCTGGACAAATGTGAGCATGTATAAACCTACTCTATCCCTGAGCCTTGGCTGTTTTCTGTCACCGCCATCATATTGTGTGGGGCTTCTGACATACCAGGACCTTGAGCAGCTGAGTTCTGGCTTGGTGAGGATGCCCCAGTATGGGACCTGTGCCAGCCTTGCCACCATCTGCAGACTCAGCTGGCACTCCTGTCAGCAAAGGAGGCCAGCTCACTGTCATCTGCCATACCCTGCCTTCCAACACCCAAGTTTTCCATCAGTTTTCAGAGGGCTGATAGAAACCCCAGGTCTGCAGAAACTAGGGCTTGGGCCTCTTGGGACCCCAGGATGAGCAGCACCCTTCTGACCAGTTCTGTACAGCAGCAAGGCAGAGCCTGACACCTTGGATATGTGGGTGCTGGGGTTCCCAGCACTCCCTATGCCAGGTGGCTCCACAGGACTTTAAGGACCCACCCAGAAGCTGGGTTCCAATAGTTTATTTGGGTTCATAACTTACGAGCTGTACCCTGTGCTGTCCCCAGCCTGGGCCCTAGACAGGCTGCATCTGCCCCAAGCTTAACGCTGAGGTGCCACGTTCCTGGAGACCCACGCTCTAGAGACTGGTTCTGTACATGCTCCCAGCATACAGGAGGGGCAGGGACAGTGGGGGACAGCAGAGGACCGAGCGCTGCTGGGTCAGGCCTGCTTCATTCAGCACAGCTGCTCGATGGCTGCCAGCAGCTCAGGCTTCAGGACAGACTTGTTGGGCTCGGCCCCTGCAGCCCTCATGTCCTCCAGCACCGCCAGGTCCCAGGAGAAGGTCAGCAGGGCAGAGGGTACCTGTGGATGGGCAGGAATGCAACCTGGTCCAGGACTGGGCCACCAGTTTTCCAGACAGGAGATGGGCCGGGGCCCAGCAGATCCTGTTCCCACACTGGCTCTGCCCTCTTGGTGTAAACCTGGGGGACTTCAATCCACAGCTCCCTTGGCCCGTCACAGGAAGGAAACTGAGGCAGCAAAATATCAATACCAGGTGCTGTCTTCCACAGCAGCGGGAAAGGTGGGCTACACACAGGTGCAGGGGACCACAAGGCGGCCCAGCAGTGGGGTGATCCCTGTGGGTGGCCACCCGCCATGCCACCAGCCCTGGCTCACCAGCCCACACTCGTTCAAGGCCACGTTCTCGTCCTCTGCCAGCTTCTGGCCGCCCAAGGCCAGCAGCTCAAAGGGCAGCCAGTGCTCCTGCAGGGCCTCCCGAACGAACTCGAAGAGCGCCGGCAGCCGCTCCCGGGCGTAGAACGTCCCTGTGGGGCACCGGGCGTGAGCTGGACACTGGGGCCGGGGGTGGGTCCCGGGTGTGTACCGTGGGCCTGGGTCACGCACCCTGCAGCAGGCAGCCGTCAGGCAGGCGCACGCGCAGGAGCGCATAGGTGTACTTGCGCTGCTCCCGCTGCTCCTCACGCTCCCGCATGGCTTTGGTCCGCAGCACGCTCAGCCTCTCCACGGCCTCCGCCCTGCACGGGGCGGGATGGGGTCAGGCACCGCTTGGTGCACCGCAGGGAGGGCCGCGCGCCGCAGTGCCCACCTGAACCGCTGTTCTCGCTTCGCCTCCTCTGCCGTAAGGCTGAAGAAGTCCGGGGGCAGGTCGAAGTGCGAGGCCAGGACAGAGGGCCGGAAGACGCGGCGCTGGCGGTCCAAGGTGGCCCGCACCGGCTGGGTGCGCAGGAGCTGCTCTTTGTGCCGCTCCAGGCTCTGCGGCTTCACCGCCTCTCCCAGCACATAGAACTCCTCCTGGCCCTCTGCATGGACGTCACAGCTGTCCCCCAGCTCCTCATCCCCACCGCCCCCACACCCCTGGCCAGGCCTCTCACCCTGATCTGGGCCCGGCAGCAGCATCTTCTGGAAGCCGATGGCCTTGAAGAAGTCGTGGGTCCCCTCCAGACAGTTGATGCGCTCCTGGGCAGGGGACACATGGGTCACTGGGCCCCTGGGCCACCCCAACGCCGTAAAAGCTGAGCCTAAACAACCTACTCTAAGGGGCCTGCAGCCCACTGGAGCCCTCAGCATCCTGGAGGTGGCTGGTGATGCTCAAGAGGGAGCAGGAGATGCTGAGATGCACAACTGTCAGTGTAGTGTCACAGCTAACTGATCAGACAGACAGACAGACCAACTCCACTGAAGCCTCATCTGCCCAGAAAGTATCCCCAGGGTGAAGTTTCTACAGAATTTGAACTCATGCCAGGGACGGGTGGGTCCCCCAACCTTGGGGTCACTTGAGGAACCCAAGCTCAGTTGGGTGTGGGGAGGGATGCCTTTAATCCCAGAGGCAGAGACAGAGGCAGAGGCAGGTGGGTCTCTGAGATAGAGGCCAGCCTGGTCTATATAGTGAGTTCCAGTCAGGGCTGCACAGTTGAGGCCCTGTCTCAGAAAAACAAAAAAAGACCCCATGCTCAAAAGTTCAAAGACAGGACCAGTGAGAGTTCTCAGCGGGTAAAGGAGCTTGCGGCTAAGCCTGAGGATTTGAGTTCGATCCTGGGACTGACATGGTGGAAGGAGAGAACTGACTCCTACAAATTCTCCCCTGACCTCCCCATGTGCACACACATGCAACCAGAATTATATAAATAAAAACCAATTCTTAGCCAGGCGTGTTGGCACACGCCTTTAATCCCAGCACTTGAGAGGCAGAAGCACGAAGATTTCTATGAGTTTGAGGCCAGCCTGGTCTACATAGTGAGTTCCAGGACAGCTGGGGCTACAGGGAGACACTGTCTCAAAAACACAAAAAAACCCAATTCTTTTCAAGTACAGAAACAAAATATGAAGAAAAAATGGCTGCAGCAGTCAACCTAGCCTGTAATCCTTAACATTTGGCAAACTGAGGCAGGAGAATTTCCAGGCTACACTACATAGGGAAACATGTCTCTAAAATAGATAAATAAAACCACAGAAGGAAAGTCTAAGTTACAGCAAACGTTGTTGTGGCCCCCATGTGCCCACCTGGAACACCTTGTTCTGCAGCTTGATTCTCTGGTACTTCTCCTCCTTAGGGTGCAGGATGATGTTGTCCAGGTACCTGTGCAGGGACAGGAGCACCCAGTTGGCTTCCTGGCCCCCCACTAGCCCACCAGCCAGCCAGACAGAGCAAGCTGGGGCTATGTCTCAGTTCACAGAGTGAGGGGCTCGCAGAGCCCTGAGGTAAACTGAGGCACTCACTTGGCGATGGTGTCCACACCTAGCTTCACCCGGTCCCGGTCTCTGTTGAACGTGTGGACCTTCATGATGGATGCAGCCACGGGATCCGTGGAAAAGTGCTGGGTAGGGAAGGAGAGCACACTGAAGAGGACCCAGTGTCTGCTGGGGAACGGAGTAGGGAGGGGGCAAGCATGTTGCTGCACCTGACTCCAGGGACCACCACATGGCCACATGCCTAGCACACAGTCTTCATAACCAGCACCAGGCTGACCTTGAGGTCCCTACAAGCTCAGATGGACCCTGCCACAACGCCCAGTCGCAGGTGCCAAGTGAAGCTGTGTACCAAGGTGGCAAGGCCATCACCCTGGGCCACATGAGTAACAGGACATAAAGTAGACAGGGTAAGGCAGTAGCAATACCAGCAAACTTGAGTGGGAGGCCCAATATCCACAACCCCAGGACCCAAGACGGAGTGACACAGCCTGTGGGATGAGGGCAGGGCCTGAGAGCTACTAACCATTGGGCTTAAACCAGGGGGCATCAGGGTGACATGACATCAGAGGGGCTTAGGGAGAGCCCAAAGCACAGTCACTGCTGCTGGCTCCCAGGAGGATGCAGCCACAGGGGAGGGATGCAGGATCTCGAGCCACTGGGCAGAGGGTACATGTAGGTCCTTTGTTGCTATTATTGGTGTTTTGGGTTCTTTTTTTTTTTTTGAGAAAGGGTCTCCCTGTAGCCCCAGATGGCCTGGAACTTGCCATGTATCCCAGGCTGGCCTCAATGTCACATCTTTGCCTCATTAGTATTGGGATCAAAGGCATGCACCACACCTGGCTTTTTCTTATTTTTTGAGACAGGGTCTCACTGTTTGGCCCAGGATGGCCCAGAACTTGCAATCCTGCTTTAGCCTCCTGAGTGCTGGGACAGCAGATATGCACCATCACATCTCTGTCAATGTTCTGAGGCTTTTGTACCCTGTGCTAAGGGTCACCCCTTACAGGACAGGGGAGAAACCAAGAGGTCAGACCCCAGGCCATCAAAGTGGGTACCGGGCCTGAACTGGCACCCATGGTACCAGGTGTGCAGAGACTCAGGCCACTCACCGACAGGATGGCTTCTTTGATACGGGCATCCCGCTGGTCCCTCCTCAGGGTGGCACCAGTGATCGGGCATTTGAAATAGACATCAGGCACTGCCAGGTGTGGTGACACTTCCTCTTTGGACTCAGGTACCTGAGAATGGGTATAACTGAGTAGGAAAGTAGAGGACATCCTGACAGTCAAACACCGTGGCTCCTGCTGGGTGACCATGGGTCACTCCTCCCTCTGTCCCTCATCCCTGCTCCCTGAGGAACTGCAAGGGATAGCACAACCAAGGCCTCTGCATGGGGTCCCAGGGGTTACATACCGTCCCCATTGGTGCTTACTGTGTTGTTGGTCCCTGGGCTGTCTGGGCTGCCGCTGGCGGTGGCTTCAGCCTGAAGTTCCTTTCTCACTGGGAGCAGGATGTGAGGCAGACAGCATGAGGACCCTGTCCCCAGAGGCCCAGCTGCACCCAACGCATCCAAGGCTGGGAGTTGGGTGCAGGTCCCCATCTGAGGACCATCCCTGTCACAGGTCACATGGAGAACCAGCTGCTGTCCTCTGTAGACCTTCTCCCACTGGGATTCAACCACCGGAAGGTGCCGACCTTGTCTCTGTGGCCACCCAGAACAGAACTTACCCTGGTTCCGGATGGAGTCCTGGGACATCGGGCCCCGGGTCCGGGGCTGTTTCTGTTCCAGCCTGGCCAGAGCAGCAGCAGCTGCCATCTGTGCCTCATCTGTGGGGCCCTGGCGGGGTGGACGGACAGCTGGCTGGGAAGACTTTTCTTTGGGAGTCTTCTCCCTGGGCCAAGATGGGGGGCATGAGTGGCCTCCTGGGGCTCTGATCTTGTCCTCCCTCCCCTCTAGGGATCAGCCCCCAGGCAACTCTTGCCACGGAAACTGCCCTACTATTTGTGGCTACACCCCTGGTTTGTCTACTGCCCTCCCCCAGCTTCCTCATTTGTTGGGTGCATAACATTCCCTCCCAGCCCCACCCCAACCCACACTTTCCACAAAAGGTTTCACAAATACCAGGCCACCAGAATTCTCCCAAACCATCAAAGGGGGGTCTTTCTAGGCCCCCCACCCGTGTCCTCCCGCCCTCCATCCCCACACCTTTCCTCTGCCACTCCATTTCCTGCAAAGACCTTCCCTGCAGCCAAAGTCTCCACCTACAACTGGCCCTGCTCCAGGGGCCCCAAGCCTGTCTCTGCATCCACCTCTGCCCTGACCTGCTCCCACCTCCTCTGGGGTGCAAGTTTTCCCCTGCACCTGCCCCACCCATGCTCTGCTCTTCCACTGAACCCCATCCCAGGCCTTGCCATGTTCCCTGCCCCCATGCACCCCACTAAGCATAGTCATCTCTTCCTGCCCCTTCCCCTAGCTCCTCCCATTCTGTTCCCGCCCCGCCAGACTCACTAGCCCCTCCCACACTCAACACAAATCACAATGTCCCTTTCTAGTCCCCTTTCCCACTTCTCTGCCCTGGTCCCACCCACCGCCTTCACCCCACTCGTACGCCCCTCCCCCTACCTCGCCCAGTTCTGCCCCTTCTTCATCCAAGTCCTGGTTCAGCCCCGCCCCTTATGACGCTGTGCGTAACTCGGACCCCGCCCACCTCCAACCTAATCCGCTGCTCCCTCTCAGGGGTTCTTGCTTTCTCTATGGCTCCAGCTCCCGGCTCGGCCTCGTCCCAGCTCCGCCCCTTCCCTAGGGCTCCTCTTCCGCCCCGCCCCAGTGCCCTCAGCTCGACTTCGGCTCCGCCCCCCACTTCGGCCACGCCCCAGGCCCTCCGCTCGCTATAGGCTCTGCTCTTTCTACGCCCCCTCAGCTTCGGACCCGCCCCAGTACCCTCGACTCGCTTTAGGGCCTCCCCTACCTAGTGCCCTCAGCACTCCTTCGGCTGCGCCCCCTCCGCTTCGGCCACGCCCCACCCCTCCGCTCGCCTTAGGCCACGCCCCCACACCGCCCCCTCCGCTTCGGCCACGCCCCAGTCCCCTTTGCCCGACTTCGGCTCCGTTTTGGCCCGGTCCCCTCCGCGTCCTTCCTCGGCGTCCGCTCTGGCGAGTCTGACTATGCTCGCCCGACTCCGGCGGCCCCCTGGTTCCCAGCGCCGTTCCCTGCCGCCCGTGTCGCTCCTCCCGTCCCACCGGCGTCTCGCACCCTGCGGAATCCGTGAGCTTCTGGCCGGGCCCCGCGCTCTTGAACTTGATGTCGGCCTTGATCTCCTGGAAGAACTTCTTCATGGCGACGGCGGCCCAGCGGCGGGGGCCGCGGGGCGTGGGGCGCAGGGCCCGGGTGGGGAGGAGCCGGCGGCCAGCCACCGGAAAGAAAATAGCGATCTACCGGAAGTCCCGCCTACGTGACAATGGGCCAGGCATGCGCCTAGTCAAGGCGGAGCTGCCCCAATCTGTTGCCCAGGCAACGCGTCTGCGTCCTCACTACCCTGTGACCTGCTAGGGGTTTGAGAGAGCAAGGAGACCACTCCGGTCGTCCTGTGCTGCGCCAGAGCTTTCGCTGCTAGCAGCGTTTCTGTCACAGATCCCAAGTCAGGGCTGGAGAGCTGGCTGGTGGTTCAGAGCCCTGGCTGTTCTTGCAGAGGACCCGGGTTCAGTTCCCAGCATGCACATGGCTGCTAACCATTCTAACTCGTTAGACCCTATTCTGGTCTCCACGGGGACTGCATGATATGGGTGCACCTACCTACATGCAGGCACTTATTTTTATGTGCACTTATACACATAAAAATAAATAGCTTTAGGGACTGGAGAGCTGGCTCAGCGGTTAAGAGCACTGGCTGCTCTTGCAGAGGACCGGGGTTCTGTTCCCAGCATCCACATGGCTGCTAACAACCATCCATAATTCCAGTTCCAGGGAATTCGACTCCCTCTTCTGGCCTTCATGGGCATTGCAGGACAAGGGTGCACTTACATACCTGCAGGCAGAACACTCATACACAAAATATTAAAATACTTAAGGAGGGCATGGTGGTGGTGGCACACATACCTTTAATTCCAGCACTCAGGAGGAGAGAGTCACTCTCACGTCTGCCTCCCCAGTGCTGGGATTCATGGTGTATGCCACCACACCCAGCTCATTGAGATCTTTTGTAGACCTAAATAATAAAACAAAACCACAAAGAACATTTCTTTATCTTGCTAGACACTTGAGTTCCTACAGTTTCCAATGGCTAGACATAGTTTGGGGTGGGGAGGCTATTTAACCCTCATTGCCCTGTGGAATTCATGCCATTATGGGCCTGTTTTACAGCTGGAGAACTGAGGCTTATGGCATTCAGTGTTTTTTGTTACTGACACTACAGGTGTGGCATATTTTGTGGTGTCAACATGTAGTAGGTGCTTAATAAATTCTTTGTAAGTAAAGAAATGAGCATTCTGGGGTGGAGCTGGGGCTTGGTAGGCAGAGAGCTCCTCCAGCACTCACGAGGCCCTGGGTTCCTGGGTTCATCCCCACCATCGCATAAACTAGGTGTGGTGAGACACACCTATCATCCCAGCACTCAGGAAGTTGTAGGATCTGGAGTTCAAGTTCATCCTTGGCTCCCTGGTGTGTTTGAGGAAATCCTGGGCTACAATGAGACCCTGTCATATAACAGAGCTATAAATTAATAGATAAAAATACTATAATACAAAGTTAAAAAAATCAATATAAAGAGCCAGAGAGGTGGCTCAGAAGGTAGGTAAGGTACTGTATAAAGTGGGTACAAAGTACTGTACAAGCCTGATGACCTGAGTTCCAATCCCTAGAACCTGCACAGAGGTGGAAGGAGACAGCCGTCCTCTGACCCTCCACACAAACTGTGGCATATATACACACGCACACACACACACCACACAAACAGTTTAAAGGCCGGGAAAACTGGCGCACTCAGGAGGCAGAGGCAGGTGGATCTCTGAGATAGAGGCCAGCGTGGGCCACAGCGGGTTCAATATTGGCTAGAACTACAGAGTGACTGTGTCTCAAAAAACAAAACAAGGAAAAACAAAGATAAAAATAGAGTAAGATATGGGGTTGAGGATTAATGATATGATCGGTTACATGAGGCCCAATCTCAAAACTAACATAAAATAATGAAATATATTACATAAAATATCAAAATTGTTAAAAAGCTAATAAAGTGAAAAATAAAAAATAAGGGTCTGCTCTTTCTGCAAGGCTTTAAATCCCACGCATCTTCGGGGCCTCGCCCCTTCTTCAGATTCTGCCCTTCCAAAGGCCTCTCCCCTCCCTTGTCCCTTCTCTAAGCCCCTATCGCCCCTCTCTAAGCACCACCCATCAATCCTGTTAGCCCCTCCCTTTGCTCCTCTCTAGGCTCCGCCCCGACGCTCCTCTCTAGACCCCGCCGTTCGCCTCTCACAGCCTGCTTCTCTCCTCTCGCCTCTCGCCTTTGACCTCCGGCACCCTCCGTCCCGCCCACTGGGCCCTAGGCCACGCCCCTCGTGTCTGTCCCGTTATCCAATCCCGTTAACTAGCTCCGTCCCAACCCCTCTTCTCATTGGTCCCCGCTCTTCTCTGTCCGCCGGCACGTGGTCCTGAGCGACAGCGCCTCGGACCCCTGGCGGCCAGTGGACGGGACTTCCGGCGGCACCGAACCCAATAAGTTCGGGCCGGCCGGCTGCCTGTGCGGACGCCTCCGCCCCTCCGGCGTCCGCCTCCCGCCCCCGGCTTTGCCTCCCGCCTCCCGCCGCCGCCGCCGCCGCCGCCGCTTCCCGCGGCCTGGGCCTCTGCAGCCAGCATGCCGCACGCCTTCAAGCCCGGGGACTTGGTGTTCGCCAAGATGAAGGGCTACCCGCACTGGCCGGCCCGGGTGAGGCCGCGCAGGGAGGCTGAGGAGGGGCCGAGGGGAGGCCGAGGAGGGGCCGAGGGGGGGCCGAGGGGTTGCTGAGGGGTTGCTGAGGAGGGTTTGGGGTTCAGAAGTAGCGAGGCTCTGGAAGGTGGAGTGTCTCCTTAGGGACCACAGTGGTTAGGGTCTGGACGCTCTAGGGTTAGGGTCTGGCCTGAGGGACTTGTGCTCTGCAGTCATGGGCTACCCCAGGGTTTGGGATATGGTGGTGTCCCCATCACCCACTAAGGGTGAGGTCGCATACACCAGGCCTCAGAAGTGGGTTTAGGGGCTTGTTAGGGTTAGTGGGTTCTGAGAGGAGCTGGGGACCCCAGAATTGGAACAGAGGGGCCAATCTCGCAGGAGTCTGTCCTTCAGGGGTTAGGCCAGGTCTCCCTCCAGGGGTCACACATGATCAGGCAAGGGAGCAGGCTGGGCCCCTGAAGCAGAGCATCTATCTCCACTCAAGGAGAGACTTGGGGCTAGAGGCTGGGAGAAGACTTTACAGGGATTTAAAGGGACTCAGTGGACTTTGGGGAACCCCTCTTGGAGGAAGCCCAGTCTGGGGGTGCAGGTGATTGAGTTCATAGGCCTGTCCAGGGACCCAAAGGCACCATCATTCCCAGATCTTAGGGTAGGAGCCACTGCAGGGCCCAGGTTGGTGGAATCCATGTGGTGGGACCAAAGGAATTTGGGGACATGCAGGTGGTGGCAGTTCAGGGAGTGCACAAGGCTGGTTGCACAGGGACACATTCCTGTCACCCATAGGTCTGGAGACAGAGGTTGCATTGAGGTTGAAGGAATTTGGGGTGCAGAAGGAAGAGCAGGCTGAATGGGAACCAGCACATGGAGTGGCTCCTGGGACTGGGACCAGAAGAGCTCTTGACTTCCTGGGACCTGGGACAGGCAGGAGGGGCAGTCAGCTGGTCCTCTGCATGACTGAGTTGAGAATGCTCAAGCTCCCTGCATCTCTGCCTCCCTATATCATCTCATCCCTTCATCCTGGGCCCTGGGGACCAAAGACTGAACAAGTAGTTCCAAACAGAAGTGAGGGAGGAGGAAACTAGGGAGCAGTTCAGGGAGGATGCAGCAGCTACCCAGGAGGAGGAGACGGGCATAGGACATCATCATCACAGGGCCCTGAGGACCCGTTCTAAGTGGGGAGACTGAGGAGAAACTTCATAGTGGCCTGGCCTCACTGGCCCAGCTCTGCTCTCTGTATAGCCCTGGCTCTGCCCTCCCCTTTCTGAGCCTTCTCCAGCTCCTGATTGGGAAAGAAGGGGCTGTCGTCTTCTGGGGAGGTGACTGGCAGCTTCAGGAGCCTGTGGGCCTGCAGGGAAAGGGTGGGACTTCCGGGATGCTCTGGGCCTGGCTCCTGCAGCCCCCCCAACCCCCACCCCGCCCTCTGCATCCCTGCAGCTGCCAGCTGCACCTCTGGGAAAAGGACCAGCCTGGCCCTTTTGCAGGAGGAGGGGCCCGTGGGGGAGTCCTGGGAATTCAGAGAAGCTAAACCAGGGTTCCCCCTCCTGGGAGCTTGAGGGGATCCTACTGAGCTGAACTCAGGTGAAGTGCCTGTCTCTGCACCAGCTTTCTTCCTGGTGGTGGTGGGGCAGACCACCATAGGTGGGGGACAGGTTAGTAGTGGGGTACACACAAGAGTGCAGGCTTTATAGCTGGGTGTGGTGGCGCACACCTTTAATCCAAGCATTTGGGAGGCAGAAACAGGCGGATCTCTGAGATTGTTACTAGCCTGGGCTACATAGTGAGTTCCAGGCTGCTGGGGCTACAGGGAGACCCTGTCTACCCTACCCCCAAAGAAAAATACGAAAACAATAATAACGTCAAGGGGCTGGGGAGGTGTCTTAGTGGCTAGAGTACTTACTGTCCTAAGATGTGGACCTGAGTTTGAATCTCCAGGCTTCTGTTTAGAAGGCACTCTGTCTCCCCACAGAGTGCCTTTCCCCTTGGTAACTGGGCTGGTTTCAGGGGGTCTTCCTGGGTCAGGTTGGAGGCTGCCTCCCACCCCGACCCTGAGTCTCTGCTGACCAGCTTGCCTGGCCTGTTGCCATAGATCGATGACATTGCCGACGGTGCAGTGAAGCCCCCACCCAACAAGTACCCTATCTTCTTCTTCGGAACACATGAGACGTAAGTGCCCCCACCAGACTATAGGTGACCCCTACCTACACGTGCTTCTTTCCCAGAAAGGGAGGGGTGTTGGGGTGTTGACTCCCCTGGACCCAGCCTGTGGTTCTTCCTCCAGAGCCTTCCTGGGACCCAAGGACTTGTTCCCCTATGACAAGTGTAAAGACAAGTACGGGAAGCCCAACAAAAGGAAAGGATTCAACGAGGGGCTCTGGGAGATCCAGAACAATCCCCACGCCAGCTACAGTGCCCCTCCGGTGAGCGTGTGGGCAAGTGGCGGGGGTCACAGGGTCCCCAACTCGGGGGCTGTGCTCTGGGAAAAGAGGCTTTGGGGCCAAGTCCTCCTTCAGCTCTGTGACCATTTCAGGCCGGGTGCTGATAGCTGAGTGACCATCAGCAGGTCTTACAGATGCTGTCTTAAGGTAAAGACTATCTTTAAGTGACACCATGCTCTGTCTCCATTGCTGCTCCACTGAGGAGTTTGTGAAGAAGGCAATAGTTTGTAAACGCCAGAATTCTCTCTCGGTCACAAGGGAGAAATCATGCCAAACCACAGAGACAATATCTCAGTGGCAGTCTGGAAATTTCTGGGGAAGGAAGGGATTTAGAAAAGTTGGAATGAGGGGCAGGCAAGAGGGCTCAGCAGGGGGAGGGGCTTACCACCAACCTGACCATCCAAGTTCAATCCCCAAGACCTAGGGAAATAAAGTACGTATAATTTTTTAAATTTTTTTTTTTTTGCCTTTTTTGAGACAGGGTCTCCCTGTAGCCCCAGCTGGCCTGGAACTCACTGTGTGGACCAGACTGGCCTTGAGCTCACAAAGATCCACCTGCCTCTGCCTCCTAAATGCTGAGATTAAATGAGTGTACTACCACACCTGGCCGGTAGATATAATTAAAAATTTTCTAAGTTGAAAGGAAACTTATAACCGGCCAGTGGAGGGCTGGAGAGGGGTGCCCTGCAAGTGTATTGTGGGGTGAGATAGGAATGCAGGGAGTGGGCTAGGATCCTCCACTCTGCCCTAAGTGTTGCTTTTGAGGTTTTTTTTTCCTTTGCACATGTACAGAGGCTGGGGGTTGAGGTCAGTGTGTGAGGCAGGAATCCTGGAGGAACTCAAAGCTTGCCAATTGGCTGTTGTAACTCTGGGGACCCTATCTCTGCCTCTCATGCACCTGGCTTAACAGTGGGCTGCCTTCTTTGTGGGGGTGCTGGGCACTCCGAACTCTGGTCCTCAGGTTTATGTAGTGGTGGGTGCTTTACCTGCTGAGCCATCTCCCCAGCCGCTGCCTTTGAGGTTTCTATGAGGGGATGGGTAGTGGGGGCTTAGGAGGGTGGGCACTAAGTCGGGGGATGAGGGAGGGAGTGATCACTTATTTTTAAATATTTTGTTATTTGTATTTTACATGTATGAGTGTTTTACCTGCATGTATGTGACTGCACCTGTGCATGTAATGCCCGGGGAGGCCAGAAGAGGGCATCAGATCTCCTGGAACTGGAGTTGCAGACAGTTGTTAGCTGCCATGTAGGTGCTGGGAACTGAACCCAGGTCTTCTGCAGGAGCAGCCAGTGCTGTGAACCCCTGAGCTGGGCTGCCCTCAAGGGAACGGACACTATGCCAGCACTGGGCAGCATATGCTCCAGATGCTGCAGGTCACAGTGACTGAGATTTAGGACATGGGGTTACCATCCCAGATGTACCCTTGAGGGGTGCACACATTCAGTGAGCCTGCCTGGTGGGCAGGCCCGTGTCCCCATACTTGGAGACACTGAGGCAGGAGAGTTGTGAGATTAAAGTCCAGCCTGAGCTACATAGGCACTTTGTCTCAGGGAAAGCAGAAGAGAAAAGAAAAGTAGCGTCACCATGGCCCCGCCACCCCAGCCATGGTGCTGCCCCGTTTGATAAGACACAGGCTTGCTGAGAGCTTCATGGGAAGCTCAGCAATCTCTTTGGTCCCTGAAACCTTTAGCTTATTTTTATATCTGAGGCAGGAATCCAGACTTGAAATTCCGGACGTGGGAAGGCTGTGTGAGGTGCCATCTCCCTTCCTCTTTACTTTGTTTCCTGTTCTGTATGAGTGGCTCAGGGCCTACATCCCTGTGGGTCCCTCCACAGCATGAAGCACAGCCAGTGGCAGCTCTGGTACCTTACGCATGTCTCTGTGAGTGTGTGCACGTGTGTGTGCACACATGGGCTTGTATATGCACAGATTAGAGCAGGCCGTGGGTGTTGCGTGTCTTCTGTAACTCTCATTACCTTGAGACAGAGTCTCACTGAACCAGAAGCTCACCGTATGGGCTGGGCTAGCTGGCCAGCCGGACTCCTGGGGTCAAGGCCACACAGCCACATGGCTTTGGTCTTCTTGAGACAGGATCTCCCTGTAGCCCCAGCTGGCCTGGAACTCGCAATGTAGACTAGGCTGGCCTCAATCTCACAGAGATCCCATCTGCCTCTACCCTCTGAGTGCTAGGATCAAACATGTGCCACCACACCTAGCCCCCAATTTAAAAAAATACATATTTTTATGTCATGTGTATGAGTGTTATGCCTGCATGTAGGTAAGTGCACCTGTGTTGTGCAGTACCCAGCGGAGGACAGAAGAGGCCGTCAGATCCCCTGGAACTGGTGCTGGGATTCAAACCCAGGTCTTCTGCCAGAACAACCAGTGTTCTTAACCGCTGAGCCATCTCTCCAACCATTTTTTTTTTTTTTTGAGACAGCGTTTCCCTGTAGCTCCAGCTGGCCTGGAACTCACTATGTAGACCAGGCTGGCCCTGAACTCACAGAGATCTGCCCTCCTTCCCAAGTGCTGGGATGAAAGGTGTGCGCCACCATGCCCAGTCAAGCAGCAGTTATGTTTATGTTTGAAATGGGGTCTCACAATGTAGCTGGCCTGGAGTGCACCATCCTCCCGCTTCAGCTGGGATGCCAGGTATGTGCCACTGTGCTTGGCCATGAGAAGTGATGTTGTTGGTGTTGTGTTGGAAACAGGGTCTTATGTAGCCCAGGCTGGCCTGGGTTTGCTCCTCTGCCTCCACGCACAAGGTCTAGGCTTATATAGTTCACACCACTGTACTCAGCAGTGGGGAACAATTGCTTTAAATCTGTGTGTTCTCTGTGCACATGCATGACACCCATGTCACTGTGCAAGTGTTGCTGTGAGGACAGCAGCACCGCCCTTCACGTAGGTTCAGGGGACTCGAGCTGGAACGGGGAGCTTTTTACCATTAAGTCATGTCTCCAACTCATGGGGCGACCCACTGATCAGCGTCTGTGTCTAGTGGCCCCGACTCCACGGCCAGAGCAGGACTGGGTTTTTGTTGCTGTCACTCTTGTTTATCTGTGTCCCTGAACTGTGGCTGAACTGAGGTAGCTGCACCTTATCTTGCAGGAGTTAGAACCTGGTCTGCTGCTGACAGTGCTGTGCAGCCTGTGTTGCCCTTCGCACTCCGATAGCCCACTCTAAGCCCTGTGTAGACGGTGTTCTCGAAGTTCTGCCTCCATTGACTGTGGCTTGTCCTACTTTACTTAAGTACCCCCGAGGTTACAGTCTTGTCACCGAGGGTCCCTGACCACGACGGCACTAGGGAGACAGACATGCTTGGCAGTGCCGCTCCTGGGTGTCATTTGCTTAGTGCAGTAATTAATTTGCCCAGGTCTCAGCTGTACAGGGCCAGCCTTAGCTCAGGAAGAATGGAGGAGGAAGGATAGAAGGGCACTTGGGTGCTCCCCCTACTTTTGTTGTTGGGTTGTTTTTTTTTTTTTTGTCTTTTTTTGAGACAGGGTCTCCCTGTAGCCCCAGATGTCCTGGAACTCACTATGTAGACCAGGCTGGCCTTGAACTCACAGAGATCCTCCTGCCTCTGCCTCCAGAGTGCTGGGATTAAAGGGGTATGCCACCACGCCCGGCTACCATGTTGCCCTCTGGAGCCTGCATCCTCCAGTTTCCTGTCCATCTGAATCCCTCTGTTTTGACAAGGAGTCCCACACTACGTGGCCTTCTGTGTCTGGCTTTCTCACTGAGCAGGACAGTTGTGAGGTTGGTCATTCTTGTAGCTCCTTTTTCTAAATACTGTGTAGCCCAGGCTGGCTTTGATCCTCCTACTTCCATCTCCCAGGTGTTGGGATTTCAGGCCTGGAAGCCATTCCTTTTTTATGGTTTAATAATATATCCGCTCTCTAGCTTTACCACATCTTGTTGACATGTTAGTTGGTCAAATTTCACAGCTGCGTGTGGCACAGTTGGGTGTCATTGAACACCTCTTCCATGATTGTTGTAACTGCTTCACCTGCTTGTCCCCGTTAGACTATGAGTTCCCTAAGGGCAGGAACTCAGCCATAGTACTGTCTAGTCCCAATGTCCAGCCAGGATCGAGTGCACAGTTGTCTTCTGTGAGGTCTATAGAGAGAGCAGACAGCAGTTCAGTAGTGGAGCCAGCTGAGGCCCCGTGTCCCATCCCCAATAGCACACAATGAAGCAGAGGTCTGGAGAGCTGGCTGCTCTTGCAGGGGACCCAGGTTTGGATCCCAGCACCTGCACACTGCTAAAAAAAAGTCTGTAACAAGCCGGGCGTGGTGGCGCATGCCTTTAATCCCAGCACTCGGGAGGCAGAGGCAGGCACTGTGAGTTCAAGGACAGCCTGGTCTATATAGTTCCAAGACAGCTGGGGCTACAGGGAGACCCTGTCTCAAAAAGACACACCCCCCCCAAAAAAAAGTCTGTAACTCCAGTTCCAGGGGATTCGACGCCCTTTTCTGTCCTCTACAGCATTACACAACATGGGTGCACTTACATACATGCAGGTAATATACTTCTACACATAAAAATAAAATATTTTAAAAACTGAACCAAAGCCTCCCACCATGTCCCAATCACGGCCCTATGTAAGTGCTTCTCATGCCAGCTCTGCTCCATCCGCATCACCCCAGGAGGCCACAGCTGCCCCCCAACCCCCATCCCTGTCCAGGTGGAAACCTAGGCCCCAAGCTCAGGCTTGGCTGGCATCTGCCACCCAGCTCTTTGCTGCATGCCCACTGTGTCTTCACCTCCAGCCCCACTTCCCATGCCAAGCATCCTGCCACCAGCCACCCCAGACACAGCAATGGTGACACAGTCTCCCCTACCAGCCGGTGAGCTCCTCTGACAGCGAGGCCCCTGAAGCTGACCCAGCGGGCACCAGTGACGGGGACAAGGACGAGGGAACCCGGGGGGTCATGACTGTGACAGCTGTGACCACCACAGCCACCAGCGACAGGATGGACAGTGATTCAGACTCTGACAAGAGCAGTGACCACAGTGGCCTGAAGCGGAAGACGCCAGCTCTGAAGGTACTTGGGAGGAAGATCCTGTTAGTGTGCCCTCTCCCCTGTCCCTGTCCCCCATCTCTGTCCCTGTTCCATGTGTGCATTGCTTTCATTCTGGCTCTGATATGGACCCTCACTACAGCCTAGGCTGGCTTCAAACTCGCTATCTTGCTTGGACAGTGAAAGGATAGGGTTCTGGTGGCACAGTAGTTTTTCTCTTGTGGCTTTGCCTATGCCTATCCTGCCCTTTCCTGTCCTGAGTGGTCCTGGGTCACCATGTGGTGCTTCCTACCTATGGCTCAGCTCTGGCCTCCTGGTTCTGTACTGGCTGCCAAGAGCCTCAGCTCGTGGTGTCCTTCTGTGTGGGCTCTGGTGCCTGTGGTCCCTGCTGGCCACTGAAGCAGGGTGGCCGACAGTAGCAGGGAAAGACTGCCAAGCCCCGCGGTACCTGGGGCTCCAGGAGCTCACGGTGTTTAGGTGGATCTGAAAGGATCTAGAACCTGCAGAAACCATGCAGAGAGCATGTGTGTGCATGCAGGTGGGTGTAAGTGATATTGTTGATGCAAAACTCACGACAAAGCAGGCCTTAAGCTCGGTGTGCACTGTCTGTGTCCAGAACCTTCCATTTCCCACACCACAGCTCTGTCCTCTTCTGTGCTGTTCTCCACGCACACTCTCCCACTTCCTGTCTGTTGCTCTGCCAACTCTGGGGAACCCCTGGGATGGGACCTGCAATGTGTGTCCCCGAGGTTCAGACCCCTCTCAGAGCCCACAGCAGTCATGCATGCCTGTGACCCCTTTGAACTTCTTCTCAGTGTACTGAGGCAGGAGGGCAGTGAGTCCCTGAGTGTGGCCGTCCCTCCCTTCCAGATGTCTGTATCCAAACGGGTGCGTAAAGCCTCCAGTGACCTGGATGAGGCTAGCGCGTCGCCATCGGACTCAGAGAGCTCAGAGTCGGGGAAGACCAGCGACCAGGTGAGCCGCCTCAGCTCCCGAGGGCCCAGCACCCCCAACACTGCTGACACCCCATCTCTCCACCCAGGACTTCACCCCCGAGAAGAAGACAGTGGTGCGGCCGCGTCGGGCTCCCCCAGGAGGTCGGAAGAAGAAGGTAAGGGCGTGCAGGCCAGGCATTGTATGGCAGTGATGTGGGCCTTGGGCGCTAACTTGGGGTGCCCAGGTGTGTGCTGCTGCTCCCTAGGACCCTGCTGCCAAAATGTGAGTAGAGCTGTGGTGTTTGTGTGTCCCATGTGTGCAAGGACCTCTGTGTGTGTGGGGGTGGGGGCTATGAGGACCTGTGTGCATGGTCTATGTGTGTGCACAAACATGTGCAGCAGCTGTGGCGTGTGTGTGCGCGCTATAAGGCCAACTGGACAAGAAGACGAGACTGCCTTGATCCGTGTGGCTCCCTGAGGCCTCCGTGGCTCCTCATGCCCGCTGGCCCTGCCGTCCACAGAAGGTGCCATCAGCCTCAGATTCGGACTCCAAAGCAGATTCAGACAGAGTGCAGGAGGCTCCTGCCACAGCGACCAGGTCGCCTTCCCCATCGTCATCATCATCGTCCTCCTCTGACTCAGACATGTCGGTCAAGAAGCCTCAGCGTGGCAGGAAGCCAGGTAGGGCCGGCCGCACCCATGGCAGGGAGGCCCTGGAGGCCTCAGCTGACGTGGCCCCTGGTTTTCGCAGCCGAGAAGCCACCCCCCAAACCCCGAGGACGCAAACCAAAACCTGAGCGGCCACCATCCACCTCCAGCAGTGACAGGTGGGTATTGTGCCAAGAGGGGGGAGCAGGGTGCACAGTGCCGGGTGCTCTGATGGCCGCTGCCCTGCAGTGACAGCGACGAGGTGGATCGCATCAGCGAGTGGAAGCGGCGAGATGAGGAGCGGCGTCGGGAGCTGGAGGCACGGAGGCGGAGGGAGCAGGAGGAGGAGCTGCGGAGGCTGCGAGAGCAGGAGCGTGAGGAGAAGGAGCAGCGGCGGGAGCAGCGTGGGGAGGCCGATCGTGGCAGCAGTGATGAGCTTCAGGAAGATGATGAGCCTGTGAGGAAGCGAGGCCGCAAGGCCCGGGGCCGGGCACCGTCCTCCTCTGACTCAGAGCCAGATGAGCTGGAGCGAGAGGTACATATTTGTCATGTGGTTGGCTGTCCATCCCCTCCCCTTCTGTGTTGTCTGTGTGCCTTGCCTATTAGGTGCACTGGGGTCAGTGACCCTAAGCCCCTGATTTTGAGGATGTGTACAGCCCGTGTGTGGGGACCTCATGTGGGACCTGGACCACCCAGCCTCCGCACCACCTGGTGGGTGTGTCACAGGGTCAGGACAATCAGCTGCTGCCCCGGCCCTGTGTTGCATCCACTCTAGGGGAAGAAGTCAGCCAGGAAGGCCCAGCTACAGGGCACGGAGTCCCTGAGGAAGTCAGGCCAGAAGGAGAAGAGAGCACGGCTGGAGGAGAAGCCACGAGCCAGGTCAGCACCCCCTCACACCTGTCCCGGGCCCTGGTCCCTTAACCTCTGTCCTTTCTCTGTTCCCAAGAGCCAGCCCATAGCTGCGTGGCTGGCATGGGGCAGCCAGCATCTGTCTACCAGGTCTCAGGTCTCCCTAAGGGCCTGACCGACGGGCACCTCTCCACAGGCCCATGAAGGTGGAGGGGACCCGGAAGCGCTCAGACGGTTTCTCACTGGACAGAAAGGATGAGAAGAAGAAAGGTGAGGCTGGTGGCCCCCTGGGAGGGGCAGCTCCAGGCTGAGCTACAAGGCAGCTGTGCAGGTGCAGCATGCCACTCAGCCCTCTGTCTCCTGTCCAGAACCTTCCGTGGAGGAGAAACTGCAGAAACTGCACAGTGAGGTCAAGTTTGCCCTAAAGGTGGACAGCCCGGTAAGCTGCCCCTCTGCCACCATGGCCAGCCCTTTCCGTGGGCGGTGGATCTCCTGCCTGCACAGGCACCTCACAAGTGGGGAGCCTGAGGCAGACCCCTCTAGGGTGTTATTTCTCAGGTCCCCGACTGGTGGCTGCACCCATGCTGGGTCCCTGCTGGATCAGCAGATGACCAGGACAGCTGCCCACTGTGTCCCTGCTCCACAGGACGTGAAGCGCTGTCTGAGTGCACTGGAAGAGCTGGGCACGCTCCAGGTGACATCCCAGATTCTGCAGAAGAACACAGACGTAGTGGCCACCCTCAAGAAGGTATGGACTGGGCGGAGGAGGTGCTGGAGCGGGCAGGAGGGAGGTGTCAGGCAGCCGCAGCCCTGGCTGAGAAGTATTGGGTGGCAGATCCGCCGGTACAAGGCCAACAAGGATGTGATGGAGAAGGCAGCTGAGGTGTACACACGCCTCAAGTCGCGGGTGCTGGGACCGAAGAGCGAGGCGCTGCAGAAGGCCAGCAAACCCGGGGCAGAGAAAGAGTGTGCTGAGGGTGAGAAGGTGGAGGAGCAGCCGGAGCAGGCACCCAAGGAGCGGGAGGACGAACCAAGCACTGGTGAGCACTACCCAGGGCTGCTTGTGGCATCACAGTGGCTCACCAGACCCAGGCACAGGGCTGTGGGGTGCAGGGGGTCTGCAACGGCACCCATGCCGCCTTCACACACCTGTGCTGCTCCTGAGTCTGGCAGCAGCTGTATATAAATACACAACCAGCACCCTGGAGGCTGACTGTCCCAGAGCCCGCCACCCTAGCAGGGCTTGATGGGTCTCTAGGAGAGGCATGGTGTGCTCATGTCCTCTGTTCCCCACCCAGGCCTCTCGGCACCTGTGAACGGCGAGTCTGCATCCCAAAAGGAGGACAGCACAGAGGACAGGGAGCAGGACGATGCACAGGACTCAGAGGAGGGTGTGCGGGGTGGCTCCTCAGAAGACCTGCACGAGTGAGTGTCCCTGCACATGGACACCTGGTGGTCATGGGAAGGGCACAGCACAGTCCCTCTGCACCAACCCCTCACACTGTTGTCACATTTGGGCTGCCACTACCCTAAACTGGGGCCACATTAGTGGTCCTGGGCTCGGAGCTCCCGGCACCCTGGCCAGGAACTTCTTGCTGATCACCAGGAGTAGCCCAGTGGCCGTCACAGGCCCCGGCCATGTCGCAGAGCCATGCTGAGTATATGGACTTAGTGTGGCTGGTGAGGGCTGGGTGGGCATCACTTGCTCTGGGAGCTGTGCTTGGTGTGGGGAGGGCAAGAGGCCGTGCCAGCAGGTGCCAGCAGCCAGAGCTCCAGGCAGCATCCTCACCTGCCTTCGCTATGCCCGCAGCAGCCCACGGGAGGGCTCCAACCCCGCCAGGCCTGGGAATGAGCGGCAAGAGCGTGACAGGGTGCGGCTGGCCTCCGAGTCCCCAGAGGAGGACAGCTAAGCCCACGGGCGGGCTGTCCCACCAAGCACACCCCCCGGAGCCTGCTGTTTGCGTTCGTGGCCTCGGGGTTTTTCCGCCTAGTTTCTGTGATTTATGATTGACACAAAATGGCTATAAAGGGTTTTGTAATGAAAAAAATAGCTTTTATTGGTGTGGTGTCCTGAGGGCAGGTGCGGCTGGGTGGGGCCTGAGGGGATATAGTGCCAAGCCAGGACCACGATGGGCCTTGTAGGGGTGGAAGTGGCCTCTGGACTTGGCTCCCATCGTGAATGAGATATGTTGGTCAGCGTGGACATAGGCCACCCGCAGGCCACTACTCCTGGCCCTGTGACCCAGGCTGTGGGCAGCACTGGGACCCTGGGTAGGACACAGCATCTGTGGGCCTGAGGCCCACAGCCATCCTGTCCTGTCAGTCTGTTGCTGTGTGGCCCAAGCAACTGGTTCCTGCCTTGGACCTCTGTTCATCTGAAAGGGTCTAGGGACAAGGACGGATGTGGCCACCAAGAACCAGATGGGTGGTGCATGGGTGGGCAGGGCGTCAGCTGTGGGGAGGCTCAGCTGCAGACCCTGGGCAGATTTGATACTGGCTGTATCATGTGACCCTCGTGCTGTTCTGGGAGGGCTCAGGACAGTCCCACCATCCGTCCCATCATGGCGTCCCCCAAGGCACCTGCTAGCACATCCTGCATCTCTTGGGGCCGAGGACCTGGTTTTCCAGCAGGGTGAAAAGGCAGAGGTGAAGGGGGGTGTGGGGCTTGGGGAAGGACAGCGGTCTGGCCAAGTAATGCTGGCAACAAGGGTCCTGGACCTGGCGTCTCCATGCATGAGGCAGAGGAGCGGAGCCATCACCTGCTGCTGTCTGCAGTCACTGTAGCCTCCAACACTGGGCAGGCCGCTGTCCTCCTGTGCACACCAGGACTGTCCTGAGGATGCATGGGGCTGCAACTGAGGAGGAATGGCTGGCAAATAGGCGTGGCAGCCGCCACCAGCATGGGGCTCATTGAGTCAGCCTCGTCCCCACACACTCTTCCTGCAAAGACCCTCAGCCCTTGTTGCACTGTGTGCGGATACTGTGAGTGTTTGGAGGCAGAAAGTTGCTTGTCTCCCATGCAGAGCACTTAAGTCAGACCCATATCAACAGGGGTGACTATGTGGCCTTGGGGGGCCTTCTGTGTTTACCTTGCTGGCAATGACATTCTAACACATTCTATGGCCAGGGACCCAAACCACCTCCATGTTGACTTGAGAGACCTGTAAGCAGAGGCTGTGGGCCCTGAGAGTTACCCCAAGTATGAGCGGTTCCCAGTGCCCCCCCCCATTGGTGGACATGAATGGTTGATGTGTGTCCAGCAGCTCCTTGGGAGAGCAGAAGCTGTGGCTAGATTCATACTCACTTCCTGAGGCCTCTCAGCTCAGCCCCAAGGCTTTGGGGATGTGAACCTGGCCTTGGTCATAGCGAAGTCCTGGGGCAGCGTGTGACAGTGCAGGGAGGTACCACCTGGGCCCGCAGGATCCTACAGCTGCTGGCCACCAGGGGGCACTGCAAAGGGCCCCACCAACCATCCCAGCGGGGGGCTCTGCTGCAGGGCATCCAGCTGTGCCTCCAGCTCCTGCCATGCCTGCACAATACCCTCATGGCTCTGGGCCAGTCGCTCCACTGGCAGATCCCTGATGCCTGACACCATGAGGCCGTAGAGCTCACAAACACTGTGCCTTGCACACCCCACGGGCTGTTGCAGGTTCGGCAGGCCTTGCAGGCCAGACGCCAGGCCACTGTAGGCTGTGTGCAGCTGGCAGAGGAGGGTGCGTGCCCTGGCCAGGGCTGTGGTGTCTTGCGCCTGCTGGAGGGACCATGAGGTAAGCAGGATGCAGGGCAGGTCAGGGAGCACAGGGAAGGGCAGCTCCCACCACACGCACCTCGTGGATACCAGCAGCCCCCTCTGTAATACTCGAGCTGTGGTCCAGATGCTGCTGTCCACCCAGTTTCTCCGTGGCCTTGTCCATCTGGAAAGAGCCACAGGGATGCAGCAGCCATGGCAGGGACATGGCGTGGCGGGAAGGGACATTGGGAGGAGACTCCCCTCCCCATCCCTTTTGTGGGTGCTGTCTCTGTGGGCTCCCCCATTCCAGCCACCCCCACCTCCCTAGCTGTGCACACCCAGCCCGCTCACAGAGCACCACTGAGATGGACCTGCGCATATCTCTCAGCACTGCAGCTGCACCCACCAGTTTCTTAGCTAGTGGACACAAGTTGAGGGCATCTGGGGCAAGGACCAGGGACACTTACCTCCCAGAAGGCCTCCTGGAGCTGGGCCAGCGCCTCCCTGGCCTGGAATTGGTTGTTTTGCATGTGGCTTAGAGCATGTTCAAAAGCACGCTGACGGAAGCCAGGGGTTAGGTCGCCCAGGCGGATGAAGTAACTGCCTTGGTCAGCCGACAGGACCCGGGGCCCTGACCCTGACGCCACCAGCTGGGCTGGAAGGACAGTGGTGTACTTAGTCCATGGAGTTTCTCCAGGTGTGCACACTGGGATGTGAGCAAAGCCCGGGTTCGCATCCACTCACCTTGCTCCTCAGTCGTCATGGGCTGGAAGATGTCCCCGAGTCCCTCCAGTTCATGGCGAAGTGTAGTGAGGCCCACGGTGGCTACCTGGCTCCCCTCCTCACCAGTTCCAGCAGCCTTGTGGACAGAACTGCCCATATCAGACACAAGGCCTTCAGCAGTGGCTATGGCTTCTGTGGTGAGCCCTAGGCCTGCAGTATGTGTGCCTGGGAGGCTAGTGACCACAGAGGAAAGGGCTTCTTGGGGACTCGGGGTGGCCCAGGAGCCAGGGAGCCAACTTGGAACTGTGCCGAGACCAATGTAGACTGGGTTTGCGGCCACGTTCCCTATCCCAGCCAGCACCGTGGACTCCGTGTCTTCAGTGGTGTGGCCTTTGGACACATCCACAGCACCAGGTACTCCACCACGGACTGTGTCCTTGGTGCCTGTCAGTAGGTTCTTTGTGGTGTCCAGACCTGTTTGTGCTGTGCCCTCGGTCATGGTCTCAGCACTGGATACCTCGCTGTGGACTGCACCCTTGGTACCCGTGGCTGTGTTCTGGGTTGTGCTCAGCCCAGTCTGCAACATGCCCCTGGCAGTGTTCACAGCCCCCGTGAGCCCAGTGGACATGCTGTCTTTCATACCCATCACCACAGACTGGGTGGTGTCCAAACCCCCCTGGATGGTGCCCTTAGCCATGTTTGTGGCATCAGTCACCCCACCACAGACTGCATCCCTGGTGCTGGTCAGCATGGTCTTTGAGGTATCCAGACTCGCCTGTACTGTCCCCTTGACCATATTTATGGCCCCTGAGAGGCCAGTGGTTACTGTGTCCTTTGTGCCAGTTAGCGTGGTCTTTGTGGTGTCCATTCCTGTCTGGACAGCACCTTTGGCCACATTTACAGCCCCTGTGAGTCCTGTGGTCACTGTGTCCTTGGTTCCCATCAGTGTAGTCTTGCTTGTGTTCAGACCTGTCTGCACTGTGTTCTTGGCCACGTTCATGGCCCCCATTAGCCCAGTGGATGCAGTGTTCTTGGTGCCCGTGAGGATGGCTTTAGAAGTATCCAGGTCCCCCTGGGCAGCCACTTTCGCCACGTTCATGGCCCTCATGAGCCCAGTGGTCACCGTGTCTTTGGTGCCCATTAGAACGGTCTTTGTGGTGTCCACTCCTGTCTGCGCTGCGCCCTTGGCCACGTTCATGGCCCCTGTGAGTCCTGTGGTCACCGTGTCCTTGGTTCCAGTCAGCATCGCTTTACTTGTGTCCAGACCGGTCTGCACTGTGCCCTTGGCCACGTTCACGGCCCCCGAGAGGCCAGTGGACACTGTGTCCTTGGTGCCAGTCAGCACAGCCTTGCTTGTGTCCAGACCAGTCTGTGCTGCACTTTTGGCCACGCTCACAGCCCCTGAGAGGCCTGTGGTCACCGTGTCCTTGGTTCCGGTCAGAACGGCCTTGCTTGTGTGCAGACCCATCTGCATCGTGTCCTTGGCCACGTTCACAGCTCCTGTCAGCCCAGTAGATACTGTGTCTTTAGTACCGGTCAGCACCATCTTTGTGGTGTTCAGACCACCCTGAACCGTGCCCTTGGCCACATTCACAGCCCCTGAGAGGCCAGTGGTCACCGTGTCTTTGGTGCCCATTAGAACGGTCTTTGTGGTGTCCACTCCTGTCTGCGCTGCGCCCTTGGCCACGTTCACGGCCCCTGTGAGTCCTGTGGTCACCGTGTCCTTGGTTCCGGTCAGCATCGCTTTACTTGTGTCCAGACCGGTCTGCACTGTGCCCTTGGCCACGTTCACGGCCCCCGAGAGGCCAGTGGACACTGTGTCCTTGGTGCCAGTCAGCACAGCCTTGCTTGTGTCCAGACCAGTCTGTGCTGCACTTTTGGCCACGCTCACAGCCCCTGAGAGGCCTGTGGTCACCGTGTCCTTGGTTCCGGTCAGCATCGCTTTACTTGTGTCCAGACCGGTCTGCACTGTGCCCTTGGCCACGTTCACGGCCCCCGAGAGGCCAGTGGACACTGTGTCCTTGGTGCCAGTCAGCACAGCCTTGCTTGTGTCCAGACCAGTCTGTGCTGCACTTTTGGCCACGCTCACAGCCCCTGAGAGGCCTGTGGTCACCGTGTCCTTGGTTCCGGTCAGCATCGCTTTACTTGTGTCCAGACCGGTCTGCACTGTGCCCTTGGCCATGTTCACGGCCCCCGAGAGGCCAGTGGACACGGTGTCCTTGGTGCCAGTCAGCACAGCCTTGCTTGTGTCCAAACCAGTCTGTGCTGCACTTTTGGCCACGCTCACAGCCCCTGAGAGGCCTGTGGTCACCGTGTCCTTGGTTCCGGTCAGCATCGCTTTACTTGTGTCCAGACCGGTCTGCACTGTGCCCTTGGCCATGTTCACGGCCCCCGAGAGGCCAGTGGACACGGTGTCCTTGGTGCCAGTCAGCACAGCCTTGCTTGTGTCCAAACCAGTCTGTGCTGCACTTTTGGCCACGCTCACAGCCCCTGAGAGGCCTGTGGTCACCGTGTCCTTGGTTCCGGTCAGCATGGTCTTTGTGGTATCCAGACTATCCTGGACCAGCCCCTTGGCCATGCCTACTGCGCCCATGACTCCCCCGGCCACCACGTCCTTGGTGCCCACCAGGGCTGATTGTGTGACACCCAGACCACCCTGGACCATGCCTTTCGCAGCACGCTCACAGCCCCTGAGAGGCCTGTGGTCACCGTGTCCTTGGTTCCGGTCAGCATGGTCTTTGTGGTATCCAGACTATCCTGGACCAGCCCCTTGGCCATGCCTACTGCGCCCATGACTCCCCCGGCCACCACGTCCTTGGTGCCCACCAGGGCTGATTGTGTGACACCCAGACCACCCTGGACCATGCCTTTCGCAGCATCCACCACACTGGCCACCCCAGAGGAGATGGTGTCTTTGGTGGTAGTCACATTGAAGCTTCCCAGGTCTGCTGCCCCAGACAGCATCTGATGAGGAAAGGCAGGTAGGTGTCAGCAGCTCCAAGAAGACTCTCCACCAGAGGCCCCAGATCCCTGAGAACCCAGCTGCTTCCCCAATACCCCCAGGACTTATGCACCACAGCCCCCCAAGATTATCTCCTTCCAGCTATGATCCCAGCGCCCAAGAAGCTGAGGCAGAAGGATTGTCACAAGTTCCAAGGCCAGCCTGGGCTATGGGATGAGAGCCTGTCTCAAAAACAAAAATGGAGCCAGGTGTGGTGGCGCATGCTTTTAATCCCAGCACTCAGGAGGCAGCGGCAGGCAGATCTCTGTGAGTTTGAGGCCGGCCTGGTCTACATAGTGAGTTCCAGGCCAGCTGGGGCCACAGGGAGACCTTATCTCAAAAAGCCAAAAAAGAAAAAGAAAAAAGAAAAATGGGGCTGGAGTCAGCAGTTAGGAGCACTGGCTGCTCTTGCAGAGGACCCGGGTTCGGTTCCCAGCACCCACATGGCAGGTTTTGTGATTTTGTTAATCTGGCCCATTGTTAAGATTTGTATTACTTGTTTTTTTGTTTGTTTGTTTGTTTTTTGAGACAGGGTCTCATGTAGCCTTCATTGTCCCAAGACTTGCTGTGCTGCCAAGTACAGCCTCGAGCTCAGAATCCTGCTGGAATGATAGATATGAACCAGCAAGAGCACAGTTTTTATTTTATTTATTTGAGACCACCCCCCTCTCCAGCTCCAGCTCTCCCCTGTGCTTGCTGTGTGACCTCAGGTAAGCCCTACCCCCTCTGAGCCTGTGCCCACAACTAGGGGCTGTAGCTGCAGGCCAGGGAGCACTGGACTGGTACGCACAGGAAGCCCTGGGGAGGTGGAGACAGGAGGATCTGGAGTTCAGGATCATTCTCAGCTACATAGTGACTTCTGGGCCAGCCTGGGATACATGAGACTGCCTCAAAAGCAAACACCATTTGTTTGAAGGTTGGGATGGCAGGTGACAGGAACTTCCGTAGGTGTTCAGTTCCTGTCAGCATGGAGCTGCTGTGCGGTCCTCCCTGTGGAGCTGCGGTTTGACTTGGGTTTAGCTGGACCACTGGCCTGAGAGCTCAGGTCTCGCTGGTCATGGGAGGTTCCAGAATATGTGTATGGAGGGGACTCTCCTACTTCCTGTTCTCTGCACCTGCTAGGGTGTGGGGCCCAGTCATGGGGTGCGGCTAACTGTTAAAAGTGCTGAGCAGAGTCTGTTCCCATTTCACAGCTGTGAAAACTGACACCTGGAGTAGAGAATCCACTCAGAGTTCTGCCTGCTTCTGACCTATTCTCCCCATGGAAAGATCTGGAAACTTCCAGAAGGCACACCCCCTCCCTCTCCCTCCAGTTTGCAAACAGGCTCTGCAAACCTCTCTCTCACCTTTTCAGAGGGTTGTGCCAGCCCCACTGTGCCCCCTGCCATCAGCTCTGCGTCAATGGCCGCTGCAGAGACAGAGCATGTCAGTAAGGGTGAGGGACAGACAAGCTTAGGGCCTATTGTGCAACCTCTGGGCTCAGCCCAAAAGGTCAGGAATGTCCCAGCTGGCCAGCCAGGGACAGCAGGAGGGGACATCCAGCAAGCAGAGTGCCTCCCTCCCTGGCATGGTCCCCCTGCCTCCTGGGGCGCAGCACTCCAGAGCCAGCAACCAGTGCTGGACCCTGGGTGCTGGACACTCACTCCAAGTCCCTGGGATCCCACAGAGCCCGGAGAGGATGAGGTGATGTCACCCTGCCCCCTGCCACAGCCACCAGTTGCCCGCCACTGAGGTATGTGGCACACGAGGCAGCTGCTGGCTGCACTGAACAACACGTCCAGGCCCAGCTTCAGTGGCCACTGACCTCGTGACCACTAATCCTGGTCCCTCCACTGGAGCTGTCCCCCAGGGCCCAGTCCAGCCTCTGGAGGCCCAGCGAGTCCCAGGATGCTGTGTCCCCAGCAGAGCCGCTGCCCCTTTCTGAATCTTTATCCTCCGTGCTGTGCACTCACCTGGACTTGGGGGACAGGTGGCCTCTGGGACAGGCTCCTTCACTGGGCTGTGACCACGGGACAGCAGACTCCGGGCAGACCCGAAGCCAGGCAGCGACCCAAAGAAGTTGCTCAGAGTCTGCAGGATGGGTGGGGGTGGGTGGGGTGTGAGCACATGCTTGGGTGGCTCTCCCTGTGTTCCAGGGACCCCTCAGTCCTCACCTTGCCTTTGGATCTGGCGTGACCCACAGTCCCATCTCCTGAAGCAGACATAATGGCAGCCTGGGAGGCTAGAAGGGACAGAAGATGCCGGAATGGGGGTTCCTAGGCGTTCCTTCAGGCCGGTGTCACGGTTGATGAGGCTGGCCCGCCTGGACTGCACAGGGTCCCTCGGAGCTGTGGCAGCTGCTGGCGGCTACCTTGGCTCTGGTTCCCAGGCCTTATAGGGTCTGGGAGGTGCAGGCCTGGGCAGGCAGCCAGGGAACGGGGGAGGGGAGGGCCCGGGGCATCACATGCCCGCTGCCAGGCCCAGTGTGGACCCGGACCAGCACCTTTCCCCTGCTCTGTGCCACAGGCCAGGCTGCCACTGCCCATGGTGCCCATACTGTTGCAGGCCTGGTGACTCAGGCCGGCTGGGCTCCCTGAGGGACCAACCACCCCCTTCCTCTGCCTTCTACCCCAAGAAGGGTGTTCAGCTGGCATGCCTTAGCCAAGAACCAGCTTCTGCCTCAGGTTCTCCCACACTTCACTGTGACTCACCATGTCCCTTCCCTGTCCCCCTCCTCCCTCTCAGCAGCCCCCCACTTGCTCTGCTCCAGCCCATGTTCCTCAAACACCCTAGGCTCTGTCCTACCCCAGGGCCTTTGCACAATCATGTCCCTCCATGGTGCACCTGGTCTAGATTCCCACACAGCTTCCTCCGTCCTTGCTTCCATTGAGTCTGTTTACTTTGGTGCTAGGACAGTGCCTGGCATACATCTGATCCTGAAGAACTCTAACTAAATGGAACTCAAGCCTGTGAGCTTGAAATGAGGCCATACATGTTCACCAGCAGTCACTCAACAAGCATTCAGCTTTGCCCAGGTAGAGCAGGTCTCTGAGAGGAGACATTTGCGTACTAGAAAGGGCAGTGACCTGTCCTTCCAGAAGGGACCAGGGGTGAAATGCAGAGCTAGAGGCACCTTTGGGATGAGGGAGGGACCCTGGTGGGCCTGGCCTAACCCCAGGAGGCATCCTGGGCCTGATGCTCCACAGCCAGGAAGGGGGAGGCCACAATCAAACGCAGAACCTGAGCCTGTGTGCTCATTGGCCCTTGGTTGTGGAGCAAGTGGCTGGGGTGGCCACCATGTCCCCCCTGGGCCAGCTCCCAGCCTGCAGTGGGGTGATCCAGCCACCAGACCTGGAGGCCCCTGGGCCATTTCCTGGGTGTCTTTGCTGTCAGGAACAGAAGGGGGAACAGCCCCTCACCCTCCCACCCCTGGCCCACCAAGGGGGTGTGGGGAAGTGGGCGTGTCCCCCTTTCCAAAACACCCCGTGGACTCCCTCACTGGGCCTGTATCCCACCATGGCTCCCAGCTCCTCCCTGGGCCCACAGCTCCTGGAGGAGGTGGTGTTGGGGAAGGGGAGCCATGCTCAAGGGTCAGGAGACCAGAGGGCAGAGGCTTGGGGGGGCTTTGGCTGCAGCTATGAGGTTCCCAGAGAAAGGGGCCAGCAAGGGAACCCTGGCTGATGGGAGGAAACTTCCAGAACCAGCCTGGACCAGTTCCTAGGGAAATCAGGGGCCAGCCTGACCTCACCACACTGGACTGGGATTTCCCAACACTGCGCCATCAGCCACACAGGAGAATGCGGTGAGAGGCCGGGAAAGCCCCAGGAGACCCACCATGGCCCTTGCCCTGCCTCTGTGTCCCTCCAACCATGACCAGCACATCCTGGGAATCCACAGCCCGACCTTGTCATCAGGGTCCAGGGAGGAGGGCCAAAGAGGGGCTGCCGTCTCACCCCTTCCCTTTCTGGGCTGCTCTTGGAAGGGTTCAAGGAACTTGTTCATACCAGAGTAAGAACGGCTTCAAGCTAGGTATGCTGGGGTGGGGGCGACTTAACCCACGCCATTGTAGATGGCTGGTCGGAGATGCACTGGCCCTTCCCGATTCTGCATGCTGGCTTGACACCTCCTCACGTCCATAAAGTCACACCCCCAGCACACACGTTCTGAGACCCATCTTGAAGCACACGAAACGTTTATTCTGAACCACAAACAGCAAAGCTGGTGGGTCTGTCCCACCAAGCAGGGCTGACTGGACGTTTTGGGTGGGGTATCAGTCCAAGATGTGATTTGAAGGGTTCTGAACCCTGAATAGAAGCCATGGGGTCTTCAGAAGTTTCTTTTGATTTCTTTTTTTTTTTTTTTTTTTGAGACAGGGTTTCACTGTGGTCTAGAACTCACTATGTAGCCCAGGTTGGCCTTGTTCTCACAGAGATCCATCTGCCTCTGCAAAAAGCCTAGACTGTTTTTCACAGAATTTTTTTTAAACTGGTTTTTTTTTTTTTTAAATGAGTTTTTTTTTTTTTTTTTTTTTTTTCTTGAGACAGGGTTTCACTGTGGTCTAGAACTCACTATGTAGCCCAGGTTGGCCTTGTTCTCACAGAGATCCATCTGCCTCTGCCTGCTGGGTGATGGGATTAAAGGTGTGCACCTCCACACCTGGCTTTTTGATTTATTTTTGAGACAGTCTCACTCAGTAGCCCACCCAGGCTATCGGCAAACGCACAATCCTCCTGCCTTAGCTTTGACCTGAGCACAGATATGATACGCATGCTCCTGGCCAGGCTTTGTGGCTGGGAACAGGATCTCGAACGGGTTGGAAGTGGCTAAAGTGAGGTCCACTCAGACCTCAGGATCTTCTATGGAACCACAGCCTGGGAAAGGAACTCGCATGGCCACCAGGCGGTAGGCGGGGCTTCAGTCAGAAGTCCAGCTCCGGCATTAGGGTGTGCTTGACCTGGACACTTGGGAGTTCGGGCTCCTGACCCTCCAGGTCTGCGTGCTCCGCCTCCCAGGCCTTCTGCTGGGCCGGCCAGTCCATGTGCGCCCAGCGAGGATCGGGGCCACCCACCACCTCGTCCACACAGTCAGCCAGGTCAGCCAGGGGCTCCGGCCGCTCCACCAGGACTGGCGCAAAAGGACCCACGAGCCAAGGCAGTGGCATGGTGCGCAGGACCAGCTGCAGCAGCTCATCCACGCATGCGTGTGCCCGGGCCACGCTGCCCCTGCCCTCGTCCAGTGCAGCGGGTGCCACGTCCCCCAGGCAGCGCGCATTGGCAAAGGCGGCCTGCAGGGCGTCCACGCTGCGCTGCACCTCACTCACCTTGGCTCGGGCGCCTGGCGGCAGCCCATGCACACAGGCAGCCAGAGCATCCACCGCACTCTGCAGCTCCCGGGTCAGGATGCGCGACACAGCCAGTGTCTCCAGCTCCACCTGCGGGCCAGGCTTCAGTTTCCCCACAGGCATCTCACCAGCCTGCCTCAGTTTCCCCCATGGATATACACAGGCTGAGTGTTCTGCCTCAGTTTCCCCCACAGATCTGCACAGGCTCTGTGTCCTGCCTCAGTTTATACTGTGGATGCACAGCAGAATCAGACCCTGCCTCAGTTTTTCCCTGGAAAGAACACAGTAGGCCTGCCTCAGTTTCCCTATGGACACCTAACAGGGTCGGCCTGCCTCAGTTTCCCTTCAAGACACAGTCCTGTTGGCCTGCCTTAGTTTCTGTAACGGACACCCAGCCTGGTGACCTCAGTGCTAGGATGGAGAGAGCTTGAGTCCCAGGAAAACTCCCTCCCTGTGCCCAGCACCTCACCTGGCTGCGGCTTTGCCCATTCTCAAGCCACGAGTTCCAATCCTCCCATGGCTCATGCACCTTAGTGGCCTTGGCAGTGGACATGAGGCTTGCCTCACTCTGCAGACGGTGGATCTGTGGGAACAGGGACAACGGGAGTCAGGCCAGAGGACTTGGGCGAGTGGGGATGGGGGACCCACCTTAGCCCACACCTGCACTTAGCATTGTCTGAATATCTGTGGTCATCTGGCCCCTTCTCTGCTTCCCTTGAAGCCCAGATACACCTTTGGCCACACAAGTCCCTGTCAGTAACACTCATCCCTCCACCCTACCATCCTCCCCACTTCCCTCCAAGCTTCAGTGTGGAGTGTCGTCTACCCTCCCCCCTTTCAGGAAGCCTTCCCTGCTCCTTCCTCAAGGTGAATGTGTATAAATGTGGTACATCTACACGATGGAATATTATGCAGCCTGGAAAAGGAAGCCACCTTGAGCTACACACAAAAGGGGACCCATTCCCATTCCCAGGGGTTCCCCAGTATTCTCAGACCCACAGAGAAAGGAAGTAGAGGGAAGGGGGAGGGGTGGAGTTAGTGTTGAATGGAGACAGAGCTTCAATGTGGGGAGAGGGAAGCTCCAGAGATGGATGGTGGGGATGAGCCTCACAGCCTTGTGAATGAACTTCATGCCACTGAGCTGGGCACTGAAACATGGGTAAGATGGCATATTTCAGGTTTGTCTTTTTCTTGTTTTTGAATCTTTGAGACAGGTTCACTATGTAGCCCAGGCTGTCCTTGAACTCACTATGTAGACTTGGCTGGCCTCAAACATACAGAGACCCCACCCCCACCCCAGCTTCCCGACTCTGGGACAACAGGCCTGTGCCACCATGCCCCCGTGGTTATGTTTTACAAGACACCGAAAACAGATGTCTGAAAACAAGCCCAGCACTGCACTGCAAGACCTGTTGCCCCACACGTCTGAAGCACTCAGCTGTTGCAAAATGCACACCAGGCACACAGGGGACTTCTGCAATAAGCATTTAGTAACCCCTTACTGTGTGCAAGGTGTCCCTTCAGCTACTGTGGGTGGCCATGAACAGGCCCGCCAGTACCTAAAGCAAGGACTGGCATGCAGTGGGTGCTCAATATTTGTTGAGAGGTTGAGCAAGTCAGGGCCTTATCCTTGGAGAGCCCCCCCTCCCCCTCAAAGTGGGGAAAGTGGAGGGCATGTCTCTATAGAGACCACTTCCCTAGCTCGTGTAGAGCCCTGGGTCCCATTCCCAGCATGAGGAGGGTGGGGGAATCTAGAGGGAGAGATACAAACATAAAATGACTACATGTGATCCAGATGTGGTAGGAAGGACAGAGCCTGTGCAAAGACCCTGTAACAGAGGGCAAGGTGAACAGACAGAAAATATGGTATATCTATGCGATGGAATACTATCCACCCAGGAAAAGGAAGGAAACTCTTGACACTCACTCCACCATGGAAGGCTTTTAGAGACAGGACGTTCAGTGACAAGACAGACATAGACACTCTGGTGGCACCTGGAGATGAAGGGGGGGCAGTTCTGGGAGGTGGAGCTGGGCATTATGTATGTGAAGATGGGGGTGAGCCACCTAGTGGCCAAGGAAAGTGGATGGGGAAAGGTCTTGAAGGTGAAGACTGTAGCCCTGGCTCTGTTAGAACCAAGATAGGAGCAGAGCAGAAAATGAACCCAGTTTGGGGGTGAAAATGTGTCTCACCAGCTCCAGGGTCTCCTGCAGCTGGGCCAGCGTGTCCTGGGTGTGGTGTTTGGTTTGCTTCAGTTTCCCCAAAGAGTGCTCATAGGCCAGATGGCGGAGGCGTGCTGACAGGGACCCCAGACGAACAAAGTAGCCTTGCTGTCGCCTCTGCTCCTCCAGTGAGCCCACTTCCGGGCCCTCAGCCTCAGCCGCCAGGGCCGCTGAAGGGTGGGGTCATGGAGACATTCAGCGTGGCTGCCCATTCACAAACAGCACCCCATTTCCCAGTTGTACAATTTCCCTTCCTTAAGCCATTTAACCTTCCCCCAAACCTACGATATAGTCTGTTTTTTTCCCTTTGTTTTGAGGCAGGGTCTCATGTAACCCAGGCTGGTCTCCAACTCCCTATGTAGCCCGGGATGACCCTGAATTCCTGATCCTCCTGCCTCCACCTCCCAAGTACAGTGATGACAGGCATATGTCACCATGCCTGGTTTACAGAGTGCTGGGGATTAACCCAGGGTCTTGCTTTGGGTGACCACTCTGCCCACTGAGCCACATCCCCTCGTGTCTGCTTTCCAGATGAGGGAAACTGAGGTAGAGAGAGTTGAAGTTGGGCCAGCGAGATGGCTCTGCAGGTAAAGGGCTTACCACCAAGGCCGATGACTGGAGTTCAGTCCTCAGTCTCACTTGGTAGAATGAGAGAATCGGCTCCTAAAGTTGTCATCTGACCTCCACGTGTGCACCATGGTGCACACAATTTTAAAAAATCTCAGTATACAAGAGGCAGACTCAGGATTGGAACCCAGGTGTGCTGGTTCCAGACTATACTTAATAGTTACCAGTCTCTTAATGAATATATCATAGCCAAACATGGTGACACACGCCTCAGGAGGTGGAGGCAGGAGGATCAGGAGTTCAGGATGGCGTTTGAAGCCATCCTGGGCTACATGAGACCCTGGCTAAAAGAATATAATCAAAATTGTGGGGGTGTGGTAACCCACACCTTTAATCCCAGCATTCTGGAGGCAAAGTCAGGTGGATCTCTGTGAGATCAAGGCCAGCCTGATCTACCTAGTGAATTCTAGGCCAGCCTGTGCTACAGGAAGACTGTCAAAACAATGTAAAACCCCAAAACATAAAAAAGCAGTTTCAAGGGTCACCAGGTTGAGCACCCATTTGTCACACACAAAAGGCCCCTACATTCTTGGGCTCAGAGTGTCTGACTTTCTGGAGGGGACACAGATCTGGGGGGAATGACCTGACCAGGGTTGATCACCCAAATTTCCCTGTGCTGCACATCCTTAAGCTGGCCCCTAGACTTCTCTGGTTGGTGCCAGCCAGCAATGGTGGCCTGCAGGAGGACTCACCCAGCTCGTCCTCGGTCATGGGCAGAAAGTGGTCCACCAGGTCCTCAGACTTGCCCAGTACCATGTCCATGGCCTGGCTCACTGAACGCCTCAGCTCCCCGCTCCAGCGCCGGCCCCGCTGTGCCAGGTCCACCACCCCTGTCACACTGCTGGCCACCGCATCCTTAGCTGAGGTCACCACCTGGCAGAGGGCAAGTCTCATTGCAGGCATCGCAGGCTCATGGCTCCACTTCCCCAACCCAGTCACTTTCCTGGCCCTGTGCCTCAGTTTCCCCTTTAAGTCAAGAATCCCAAAACCCTGTCCCTCAGGAATTGGCTGGGGTCACCAATGTCTACTCAGTCTCACTATGTAACCCAGGCTGGCCTGGAACTTTCTGTATACCTCAGGCTGACCTGGAATCCACTATGTAGCCCAGGCTGTCTTAGAAATTTCCATGTAGACAATGTTGACCATGAACTCACTTTGTAGCTCAGGCTGGCTTGGATATCACTATGTAGACCAGGCTGGCCTGGCACTCACAGAGATCTGCCTGCCTTCTAAGTGCTGAGGTCAAAGGTATGCAGTGCCATGCCTGGCCTCTCTTTTGGTTTTTTTTGACCCTGAACTGCCCAGCCTTTGTTTTTGTCATTTTGTTAGTTTTTTGTGTGTGTGTTGATTGCTTTGTTGTACTGATTACTTTTTCCTTGCCCAGTTGGGACCCAACTGGTCTTGTCTCTCCCTCCCTCCTCACCCCACACCTCATCTCAAGCTATCCCGTGTTAAGTCCCTGGGGTCTGGTCACCCCAGTACCGTGTCCGAAGGTTGCTGGAGGAAAGGCAGTTTCTCCTCCAGCTTGTCCAGACCCCTGCAGGCGAGATCGTTCACTGTGGCCACTGGAGAGAGGAGGGCGACAAGGACTCATGGAGAACTGGAGCGGGAGGAAGTGCCAAGAGGTGGAAGACCAAACCTGGCTCAGACCCAGGACAGCAGCCAAAAAGGTCTGTCGGGTCCCCAGAGACCTTCAAGACTTTGGATGAGCCCAGGGCTCTGGGAGATGGAATCGGGGGAGAAGGGAAAACCATGAGGGACCTGGAGCCATCTAGCAAGTGGGCGGCTCCCTGGGAGGGTGCTGTGGGCTTCCAGCTTGGTCCAGGCTCCTCTGCATCCTTTGGCAAAGGAGATGAAGATCCTGGGGGACCTGCTATAGTCAGATGGGTCTCTCTTACCCTTTGCCCCATGGGATTCCCTGAGCCGCTGTTGGGAGTCTGAGCAGAAAAGAAGATGGCTAGGGACATAGTTCAGTGGGCAGAGTGCTTGTAGCTCAGTGGATAGAGTGCTTGTAGTTCAGTGGGCAGAGTGCTTGTAGCTCAGTGGATAGAGTGCTTGTAGCTCAATGGGTAGAGTGATTGTGGCTCAGTGGATGGAGTGTCTGTAGCTCTGTGGGCAGAGTGTTTGTGGCTCAGTGGGTAGAGTGCTCGTGGCTCAGTGAGTAGAGTGCTTGTGACTCAGTGGGCAGAGCACACCTCTCATGCATGAAGCCACGGGTTTCTCCCCCAGTGCCCCAAAACCTAGTGTGGTGATGCACATCTGTCATCCCAACCCTCAGGAGGCTGAGGAAGGAGGATTGCTCAAAACTCTAGGCCAGCCTGCTCTACAGAGCAAAACCCTGAATCAGAAAAACAAAAAACAAACTAGGAGGTGGGTGGGTGCAAGGGGCCAGGGCAGGTAACTCACGCTGTGGCTGCAGATGGTCAAGCAGTGGCTGTGCATGGTCCAGGGCGCAGCTGGTCACACTGCACACACAGTGCTCAGCAAGGCGGCAGGCGGAGCCCAGCAGAGGGTGCTTGTCCTTGGCCGCGTGATAAGCACCGGAGACGGCCGTGCATGTGGCCCTGACCAGCGGCAAAGCTGCCATGCGCTGCACCACATTCTGTGGGGGATACAGGTGGGCTAGAGGCTCACCTCGCTGCAGCTGACCCCCTCTGGGCCAGGCTGACAGACAGAAGGCCAATGGCCCTGTGACGTCAGCTGCACCCACACTGTTGGCAGTGATGCACACTGCGCGCCATGGCCACACTTTAGGACACCACGGTTTTCCCTGGGTAAGGTGCCCTCGCTGAAGTTCCCAGTGGGGTGATATCCCAGCTGTGAGGACTCAGGAAAGAGATCTGACTGCTTGGTGCCTCGGTTTACCCAGATGGAAAGTGAGTTTCGTTGGAACTGTGACTGGTAACTCGGGGGGTTGGTGCTGAGACTACAGTGGCTGTTTATGTAGCGTGGCAAACACCCCAGAACTACACAGGAAAGTGGGGTTCTTAGAACCAGCTTCTTCAAGCAAGGACTGGGTGGAAACCCCTGTCCTGTCCTCAGAGGGCTCCCTCCCCCTGCTGCCTCACCTGCTGGTCCTGCTCCCTCATGCTGGATCCGGGGTGGCTCCTCACCTGCTGGTCCTGCTCCCTCATGCTGGATCTGGGGTCCTGAGCAGCCCCCTTGTCTGACATGCTGTGGGTGGTACAGGACACAGAGATGGGGGTCCTGAATGCCAGGCTTCCCAGCTCCATTCCCTCTCAGGACCTCAGTTTGTCTGTCTAGAAGATGAGGTGTCGTGTGGTGTGTAGGCATGCTCAGGGTTAGAGACCCTGGCTGGGTATGGTGGTACACGCCTTTAGTCTCAGCACTAGGGAGGCAGAGGTGGGTAGATCTCTGTAAGATCAAGGCCAGCCTGGGCTGCATATTGAAATTCAGGCCAGCTGGGGTTACAGGGAGACGCTGTCTCAAAAAACAAAACAAAAAATAGCTGGGTGTGGTGGCGCACACCTGCCTTCCTAGCACTCAGGAGGAAGAGGAATTCTAGATCAACCTCAGCTATATAGTGAGGTCCAGGTCAGCCTGGGCTACATGAGACCACGTCTTTAAAAAAAACCCAAAAACTCAGCCAAGCGTGGTGGCACACGCCTTTAATCCCAGCGTTCGGGAGGCAGAAGCTGGCAGATCTCTGTGAGTTCAAGGCCAGCCTGGTCTACATAGTGAGTTGGCCAGCTGGGGCCACAGGGAGACCCTACCTCAAAAAGACCAAAAAATAATAATAAACTAAAATAAACAAGAGCCTCTGATGTTATGGGGAGGACTTAGAAACCCAAGGCATGGGTTTGAATCCTGCCATTACCTGCTGCGTGACTGGCCACGTGCCTTCCCCTCTCTGGTCCGATTTCTGTTTTGTGAAATGAGGGGTTTCAAGCTGCCCCTGCCAGGGACAGACCAGCGTCCCTCACAGACGTAGAGAGGACAGTCACAGGATCCAGACCCCTCGACAGACAGGAAAACTGAGGTACAGAGCAACTGACTCAGTCAGGCTACGGAGGGGGCCACACCCCGGAGCCAGACCTAAGGCCCGCAGTGTCCTCTGCGCCCTGGTCCCCGCCCAACTGGGTCCTGAGCTGCAGCCAACTGGGACAAGGGTCCCGGCCACCTGCTGCTGCCTGTTACTGTGGCCTGGGCGGCCCAGGCCTGTCCCTGTCCCCCGGATCAGTAAGGTCCCCAGTTTGGGCGACCCATCCACCTGTGCCCTCTCACCTGGATCCCTGAAGCTCAGACCCCGGCCAGGGTGCCCCCAGGACCCCAGACTGAAGACTCCACCCCCTACTGGCCCCGCCTGCCTTATAGCAGCTCGGGGGTGGGGCTTCTAGACATTGACCAATGAGGTGAGGTCCTCACTGGAGGCGTGTCCAGGACGGGCCTCTAGGTCCCCCCTTCACCCAGAAGTTCCACCATTGCCATAGCAACCCCAACTCCTGGCCAGCCAAGGACAGGGCTGGTCACCTGTTTCTGAAGCCTCCAGAGCCAGAGAGGTTCCTATCCTTAATTCCCAGATGCTTTGTTTTGATCTCACTCTGTAGCCCAGGTTGGACTGGAACTCATTATGTAGTCCAGGCTGGCCTCAAACTGGCAATTCTCCTGCCTCAGCTTTAAGAATACTAGAATCAGAGGCATGAGCTCCCACGCATAACTTTTTGTTTTTGATTGTTTTTTGAGGTAGGGTCTGAAACTCGTTCTGTAAACCAGGTTGACCCCGGTCTTCTTATTTTTAAATCTATTAAAGTCTAGACGTAGTTGGTCCCGTCCCCTTGGACTTCCATTTTACAGATCAACAAACTGAGACTCCAAAGCTCAAACTGTTGACCTCAGCTCCATCAGGGAGTATAGGGCCTAGTGCCACTGGCCCCTGGGCTACGGCTCAGTGTGTAGAGTACCCGTAGATTAGATCAATGGGCAGAGTGCTTGTGGATCAGTAGGTACAGTGCTTGCCTAGCTCTCATGAATCCCTGGATCCATCCTCAGCACCCCATAAACGAGGCATGGCGGCACACACTTATCATTCAGCACTCAGAAAGTGGAGGCAGGAGGATCAGGAGTTCAAGGCCGTCCTGACATACATAGGGAGGTGGAGGCCAGCCTGGGCTACATGGCCCTGTTCGTTTTGTCAATCTTTTTCTTTCTTTTTTTTTTGCTCTTTTTGAGACAGGGAACTCACTATGTAGACCAGGCTGGCCTCGAACTCACAGAGATCCGCCTGCCTCTGCCTCCTGAGTGCTGGGATTAAAGGTGTGCGCCACCACACCCGGCATTGTCTTTTTCTTTTTTACAAAAATATTTTATTTATTATTTTTATTTTATGCGTATGAGTGTATTGTCTGCATGTATGTGAGTGCACCCGTATCGTGCAATGCCGCGGAGGTCAGAAGAGGGTTTCAGATTCCCCTGGAACCAAAGTTAAGGATGGTTCGCAGCTGCCATGTGGGTGCTGGGAATTGAACCCAGGTCCTCTGCAAGAGCAGTCAGTGCTCTTAACCACTGAGCCATCTCTCCAGCCTCTTGCTGGTCTTTAAAAAAAAGAAAAAAAAAAAAGACTAACACCCTGCCCTGCCCTTCAAGGTCCTTTTTCTAGGGGGCCAAGAAACCACATCTCAGGGACCCCCCAAAACTGACCTTAACACACACACACTCAGTTTGTCATCGGCAGGGGATACCCTACATTCTATGCTGTGAGAACTTGACCTCCTGGGCCCCTACTGTGGTTTTTAGCCTCATCCTGGCCCCATGGGCTCCCCTGGGCAGGTGTCCCCTTGAACTGTCACAGGCCAGCAGGACACATGGAGACCTGAGCCAGCTAGGACACAAGCCCTGGCTGCTTGCCATGGTAGAATGACACCAGACAACAGCCAGGATTTTATTTCTGTCTTGGACCCAGGATGGGGGTGGGGGTGGTGCTGCCCCAAGGACTGTCTATGAGGAGCCCCAGCGTGGAGCCCTGGTTCCTAGACCCTGCATCTCCTGGTGACCTAGGGTGGCTTCGAGGGAGAACAAGTAGCATGTGAATGCCCGAGGGTGGGAGGGCGGTGGGTGCTTGCCTGGCATCCCAGCACCCGGGAGGCTGAGACAGGAGGCCGATAAGTTCCAGCCTAGCCTGGACTACATAGAAAGACCCTGTTTCAAAAATAAACAGGTGGCGAGATGGCTGAACAGGTAAAGGGGCTTGTAGCCAAGCCTGAGGACATGAGTTCCATCCCTAGGACCCATACAGTGGAAGGTGAGAACGAACTCTAGCAAGTTGTCTTCCCCTCCACATGCAAACCAAGGCATGCATGCTGGCATGTGCACACACAAAATTAAAAACAAAAAGAAATTACATGAATTGTTCAATCATTTCGAGGGTTATTTATTAACTACCTGGGGGACTCCTCCCCCTAAAATAGACAAGTCGAAGCCAGATAAAGTTGATGTGGCCTGAGGTCCATCAGGGGAAGACAGGAGTGATCTGGGGGCTTAGCGAAAGGGAAAGAATCACGAGAAGTAAGGGAGAAGCATCCTCAAAGATGCAGAGCATCCTGGAAGAAGGAACAGCAGAGGAAGGCAAAGTGGCTGTGAAGCCTGTGTGACTTGGATGGGCAGCCAATAAGGTAGAGGGGCTCATCACTCAGTGGGGTGCCATGTTCTCCTGCCACAGCCCCCACTACACTACAGCTTCACACCTCACTGGGACCCCACCAAAGCCAGGAGCCGCTGGCCCTTCAAGGCTTTGGGTCCGGCACACTGTGTTTCATTCTGTGAGAACATCTTGTGTCTGTTGGCATCCAGCCAGCGATACAGATCATGCAGTTTGCTGTCGCAGATCCAGGGGTTGTGGGAAATATCAAAGCCATCCCCCATGTCCCTGGCCGGCCTCCCGAGCGATGTCCACAGGCCTTGGGGTGTGCTAGCCAGAGAATTATTAGACAGATCTAACATATCCAACTGATTCAAGCCTTGGAAAGCACCAGCGGCCACTGTAGCCACCTTGTTGTCATTGAGAAAAAGGTACCTTAGGGAACCCTGGGGAGCCAGCAGCTTGGCCCCCAGCACCGCCAGCTGGTTCCCTTCCAGATGCAGCCGGTCCAGCTGCAAGGGACCCTGCAGCAGGTCCTCAGGCAGAGACTCCAGGAGGTTGTTCCCAAGGTCAAGGACACGCAGGGAAGTCAGGTTGGCCAACAGCTGGGGTGGCAGTGACCGCAGGCAGTTCCCAGACAGATCCAGGTGACCTAGGGCTTTAAGACCCTGCAGGGAGGACGTGTTCAGGTCGTGGAGACGGTTTTCCTTCAACACCAAGGTGTCCAGGGCTGCCGACGCGTGAAACAGGCCAGGGGGCAGGCTGCGGAGGGCATTGCCGGTCAGATCCAGAACCCGCAGCCTGGGCACCCACAGGAGGACATTGGAGGACAGCGACTCCAGGTGGTTGCTTGACAGATGCAGCTCCACCAGGTCAGGGACATCCCATAGGGCGGCCACGGGTAGCTGGGTCAAGTTGGAGAACTCGATGGACAGATGGACGGTGTCGGCCGGGAGGGACCCAGGGAACACAGTTGGAGAGTAGCAGGTCACAGTGCTGCCATTGGCTGAATGAAGAACCAGGCATTCTTGGAAGTTTGGGGTGATACCTTCAGTGGACGCTACATAGAGAGCCAGGAGGAGGAGCAGCATTCTGAAAAGATGGGTGGGTATCCAGTCCCTCCCCAGCAACAGGTGGCGGTCAGTGAGACACAGTGAAAAGACCCCACTTTCTCCCACCTCCATGGGTACCACCCTGGACTGTCCCACATCCTGAGATGCTGTGATCTGAATGGTTTGTTTTTGTCTCTCTAGCTGTGTGTTTGGATGGCAGAGTTGTCGAACACCTATTCACCTTGCAAAACCCCAGCCAGAATGCCTACTTTTTTTCTTTCTAATAAAACTTTCTGAGGTCCGGGGCTTCACTGTCCCAACACAAGTGGGTATGACGGGGGCCTGGAACCTCAGCAGCGCCCTCTCCCCCTCTCCACTGCCTAGCTCCAGGCTAGCCTGTGCTACCAGAGGGAGGTGTATGGGTGTGAGCCTGTCTGTCCTAAGACAGGGCCAGCAGGAACCACTGCACTTCACTGGGTCAGACAGAATGTTCTGGCTGGCCAGGCACCTGGGTGTGCCCAGGTTGGACACGGTGGGAACCTACCTCCCCGGTCGGCTTCTGACCCAACGGGCAGTGGTGGCTCTGCTCTGTTCCCTTGAGCCAGGGCCAGTGGCTTTATGCCTGAGTGAACATGGGGAAGGGGACCAACTCCAAGTGCCCCCCCCAACCAGGGGCAGAGCCTGGGGACAGGTCGATATTGCGAAACCCCTTCCTGGCTACTCTGGCTGCGCGGCGGCCCGCCCCTCTCTAACTTCTAAACCCATCGTTTTCTACTTTTACTTCCTGATCTGGGGTAG